AGCGACCCCGGGTCCAAAAGGCGCACTCTGCTCCTGACACTACTTTCTTGGTGATATGAGGTCCCCCTGTCTCTCTGCTCGCTTCTCTCTTTTATATCTCAAAAGAGATTGACCCAAGACACAATCTAATCTTGTAGATTGAGTCCTGCCTCATTAACATAACTGCCTCTAATCCTGCTTCATTAACATCATTTGTTGTCGTTGTTGTTCGGTGCTGTCGAGTCAGTTCTGACTCAGCCACCCTATGTACTACAGAACAAAACACTGCCTGGTCCTGTGCCATGCTCACAATCGTAGTTATGCTTGAGCCCATTGTTGCAGCTACTGTGTCAATCCATCTCGTTGAGGGTCTTCCTCTTTTTCGCTGACTCTCTACTTTACCAAGCATGATGTCCTTCTCCAGGGACTGATCCCTCCTGATAACATGTCCAAAGTATGTGAGATGTAGTCTCGCCATCCTTGCTTTGAAGGAGCATTCTGGTTGTACTTCTTCTAAGACATTTGTTCGTTCTTTTGGCAGTCCATGGTATATTGCATATTTTTTGCAACACCACAATTCAAAGGCATCAGTTCTGCTTTGGTCTTCCTTATTCATCATCCAGCTTTTGCATGCATATGAGGTGACTGAAAACACCATGGCTTGGGTCAGGTGCACCTTAGTTTTCAAGGGGACATCTTTGCTTTTCAACACTTTAAAGAGGTCTTTTGCAGCAGATTTGCCCAATGCAATGTCTTTTGATTTCCTGACTGCTTCTTACATGGGTGTGGATTGTGGATCCAAGTAAAATGAAATCCTTAACAACATCAATCTTTTCTCTGTTGATCATGATGTTGCTTATTGGTCCAGTTGTGAGGATTTTTGTTTTCTTTATGTTGAAGTGTAATCCATAGTGAAGGCTGTAGTCTTTGATCTTAATCAGTAAATGCTTCAAGTCCTCTTCACTTTCAGCAAGCAAGGTTGTGTCATCTACATAACACAGGCCGTTAACGAGTCTCCCTCCAATCCTGATGACCTGTTCTTCATATAGTCCAGCTTCTCGGATTATCTGCTCAGCACACAGATTGAATAAAGTATGGTGAAAGGATACAACCCTAATGCACACCTTTCCTGACTTTAAACCACAGAGTATCCCCTTGTTCTGTTTGAATGGCTGCCTCTTGATCTATGTACAGGTTTCGCATACCCACAATTATGTGTTCTGGAATTCCCATTCTTCGCAATGTTATCCATAATTTGTTATAATCCACACAGTTGAATGCCTTTGCATAGTCAATAAACCACAGGTAAACATCTTTCTGGTATCTTCTGCTTTCAGCCAGGAACCATCTGACATCAGCAATGGTAACTGTGGTTCCACATCCTCTTCTGAATCCGGCCTGTATTTCTGGCGGTTCCCTGTCGATACACTGCTGCAGCCGCTTTTGAACGATCTTCAGCAAAATTTTACTTGCGTTGTGATATTGATATTGTTCAATAATTTCCATATTTGGTTGGATCATCTTATTTGGGAATAGGCATAAATATGGATCTCTTCCAGTCGGTTGGCCTAGTAGCTGTCTTCCAAATTTCTTGGCATAGATGTGTGAGCACTTAAAGCACTCCATCTGTTTGCTGAAACATCTCAATTGGTATTCCATCAATTCCTGGAGCCTTGTTTTTCGCCACTGCCTTCAGTGCAGCTTGGACGTCTTCCTTCAGTACCATCAGTTCCTGATCATATGCTACCTCTTGAAATGGCTGAACATTGACCAGTGCTTTTTGGCATAATGACTCTGTGTATTCCTTCCATCTGCTTTTGATGCTTCCTGCGTCGTTTAATATTTTCCCCATAGAATCCTTCACTACTGCAATTCAAGGCTTGAATTTTTTCTTGTTCTTTCAGCTTCAGAAATGACGAGCGTGTTCTTCCCTTTTGGTTTTCCATCTCCAGCTCTTTGCACCATGTCATTATAACACTTTGTCTTCTCGAGCCACCCTTTGAAATCTTCTGTTCAGTTCTTTTACTTCATCATTTCTTCCTTTTGCTTTAGCTACTCGACATTCAAGAGCAAGTTTCAGAGTCTCTTCTGACATCCGTTTAGGTCTTTTCTTTCTTTCCTGTCTTTTTAATGACTTCTTGCTCTCTTCATGTATGATGCCCTTGATGTCATTCCATAACTCATCTAGTCTTCAGTCATTAGTGTTCAACACGTCAAATATATTCTTGAGATGGTCTCTAAATTCAGGCGGGATATACTCAAGGTCGTACTTTGGCTCCCGTGGACTTGTTCTGATTTTCTTCAGTTTCAACTTGAACTTGCATATGAGCTATTGATGGTCTGTTCCGCAGTCGGCCCCTGGCCTTGTTCTGACTGATATTGAGCTTTTCCATTCTCTTTCTCCACAGATGTAGTCAATTTGATTCCTGTGTATTCCGTCTGGCAAGGTCCATGTATATAGTCGCCGTTTATGTTGGTGAAAAAAGGTATTTGCAATGAAGAAAGTGTTGGTCTTGCAAAATTCTATCATGCGATCTCCAGCATCATTTCTATCACCAAGGCCATATTTTCCAACTACGGATCCTTCTTCATTTCCAACTTTGCATTTCAGGCACCAGTAATTATCAATGAATCCTGATTACATGTTCCATCAATTTCAGACTACAGAAGCTGGTAAAAATCATCAATTTCTTCTTCATCTTTGGCTTTAGTGGTTGGTGCATAAATTTGAGTAATAGTCGTATTAACTGGTCTTCCTTGTAGGCGTATGGATATTATCCCATCACTGACAGCGTTGTACTTCAGGATAAATCTTTAAATGTTCTTTTTGACAATGAATGCAATGCCATTCCTCTTCAAGTTGTCATTCCTGGCATTGTAGACCATATGATTGTCCGATTCAATCAGTTGGGTTCAATGCAAACAGGGGCTTGAAAATCCTCCCAGTAAGATTGAGTCCCTTGTGGGCCAGCTCAGGGATTGGTCAGTTTTGCTATCCTGCTAGGCTTATATAAGGGCCAATCCCACAGAGGTTTGGGTGGAATCTCACTACCATCAAGAAGTATCTGGAGTGGAGTGCGTCCTTTGGACCCAGCATCCCTGTGCTGAGAAACTCCTAGACCCGTAAGAGAAAGCTGTTAACACCAAAGGCCGTGCAAGGCGGTGAGAAATGGTGGCAAGCACAGCAGAGCCCAGAAATGGAAGCAGCAGTATGCATGGTGTGAACCGCAAGACTGGTCCGAGATGGCTGTGATGGGCTTGCCAGCCCATGGAAGAGAGAGCTGAGCGCCTTCGGGTAGGAGGCTTACTGGCGGAGTGGAGTGCCTCCAGGCACCTTTTGGTGTCTCTATGAGTCAAAATTGATTAGACAGCAATGGGTTTTATGGGTTTGAAAGGAGCTGTAACACTTGCTGAGCAGGGCAGAGGCCTGGAAGAGGGACCCAGCAGCTGAACTGGTGATGACTGCAGAAAGCTGCTGCTAGGAGGGCAGCAGCCAAGCAAGCTGCTACACTGGCCATGAGTTGGGCCAGTTAGCTGTAGAGAGGCTGGTGGCACGGGGTAAGCTGAAGGCAGAGAAGGGCGTGAGGAGCTGAGAGGTGTCCTGGTTGTAAGCCATCCGGATTGCTGAACTGTATCCTGTCTCCCAAATTGTATCCTGTTACTTCCAAGTTGATCCTGATCCTAAGTTGTTTTCTGTTACTTCCCTAATAAACCACATAACTTGTGAGTATGGTCTGTGAGTTCTGTGTGGCCACTGTAATGGATTATCTAACCTAGGAGAGAAGCAGAATGCCGTGCGGGGAACAGCTGGTGTCAGAAATGATAAAAATAGTGGAGAGTGGAGGGATGTCTGAATTCTACCTCAAAACAACCAGCTTTGTGCTGATCCTGATCTTTATCCCTCATGGATGTAGACAAGTTTTGATGATGCTAGATTACACTAAAAGATAAATATTCTTAAATATTTCCAGATAAAATACGATCTTTAAGATTTCCTTTAAAATTTCTCAGGGGGATAAGTGGAGGAGGGGTTAGAGATGAAACAGGATTGGTCGTAAGTTGGTAATTGTTGAAGCCAGAGTGATGGGTATAAGAGTTCGCTATTTTTCATATGGTTTAAAAATTACAGAAGAAGTTTTAAAAAGTAAATAAAATTAAGAGAAAGAAGGAAACTAAAGACTCAGAAGAAACTAGCCTACAGGACTAACAGTCTCCATGAATCACGGCCTCATCTACCCTGAGACCAAAAGAACTAGATGGTGCCCAGCTACCACTAACGACTAGTCTAATCAGGGCCCTGAGAGAATGGGAGAAAAACGTGAAACAGAACTCAAATTCTTAAGAAAGCCTAGTTGAGACTAGAGGACTACTGGAGACTATCTCCCTGAGATACACTTTAAACCTTGAATTGAAACTATCCACTGAGGTCACCTTCTAGCTGAACAGCAGACTGGCTCATAAAATAAAGAATATCACCCATGAGTACTGCGCATCATTAAAAAATCATCTACATGAGACAAAGTGTCGACAATTATTCTAAAGCAAAAATGGACGGGTAAGGGGACAGGGAAACTAGATCACTTGAAATGGAACATCCAGAAGGGAATTAATGAGAATGTTGACACATTTTGAAAAATGTAACCAATGTTACTGAACAATGTGTAACAATTGCTAAATGGGAACCTAGTTAGCTGTGTAAATTTCCCCTGAAAACACAATAAAATATTCTTTAAAGGGAAAAAATAAATAAAACTTATGCAGATAATAATGGAAGCACACAGGTAAGTTTTAACATGCACAGAGACTTGAGGCCACTCTGTATAATCACTCATTCTGTTGACTGCCTGGCAAATAGGAGGTGGTCAAAGTTTGATAAAATTAAAAACAAACAAACAGACAGAAAAGATCATTGCTCTGAGGCTCCCGCCTACTGGTCCGGGAATCTGGACACTTCCACTCAAGCGTCTTTCTGCCCAACTGTCCAGCTCTTTTACACACACACATATACACACACACTCTTACACTTTTCCAATGAGATTTTATTATTAGTTAAGTCATGATTCAGGATCCCAGCAGAGGTGGGGTGAGCCAGTTCAGATCTTCCCAGGAAACGTGCCTTCTGCCCTGCGGTCATCCCAGGCCGACACCTGTCGAGAGACAGACAGTGTCACTCCCTTCGGCTGTGGGGAAACCAGATGGGTGGGCTTCTTTGTCTTCCTCACTTTGCCCACCTCTTCCTTGGTTCAGTAGTCAACAAGTAACCATATGTACCTGTTATGTGCCAGCCATTTTCCAGGAGCTGGGGAACCCAGCAGGCACCCAGAAAGACAAAAATCCCTGTCCTCAATGAAGTGACACTCAGCTGAAACCTCCCCGGCTCGCTGCATGCCGTCCCTGGGGGACCCCTAACTGTACCGGAGCTTCCAGAGTGTGGCTGTGCCTGCGTCAGGCACCTGAGGCAACACTCGGTGCCGCCTGTCAGAACTGAGGAGACACGGGGCGCTGGGCAGCTGTGATGGAATCAGGTAGATCTACGCTCTGTCACGAACGCATCTCCAAGACATACAGCCAAGCCCAAGCCCCCTGCAGGCGAGTCAACTCCGACTCACAGCGACCTTACAGGATAGAGTGGAACTGCCCCACAGGGTTTGCAAGGAGAGGTTGGTGGATTCGAACTGCCGACCTTTTGGTTAGCAGCCATATCACTTAACCACAGTGCCACCGGGGCTCCCCAAGATACACAGTCAAGTGCAAAACGGTGCTAAACAGAATATGTAATGCGATCCCACCGTTGGTCACAGATATACATACGTACAAAAACAGAGAGAAAGGCACACATCAAATTGTTAACACTCCCAGAAGCAACACTCAGATGCTTGCTGGCCTTCCCACGGGCAGTTACAGCATTTTCATTTTTTACACGGCACGTGTCCACACAACACTCCCACTTCTACACTACATGTTAGAGGCAGGGATAGAGGCATGACAACGCAGAGACAGAATCTGAATGCCCACTCTACCTGCTAGCTGTACAACCTTGAGCAAGTTCCTCAACCTCCCTGGGCCTGTCTCCAATTCTGTCAAATGAGGCTACTGGTAATAGTAATCTATCTCACAGTTGTTTCAGCACGTCTGACCTGATGTGATGTAAAGTGCTTAAAACGTAGCTGGCCCACAGGAAGTACCACGCGTGTGCTTAGACACACACACACACACACACACACACACACACACACACACACACTTGCTCTCCTTTTACTTGAAAAATATAAAAAAAGATACAGATTGCTCTGCACCTTCCTTTTTTCCACGTCTGAGAGCTCCTTCTGTAACCTGTCCCGTGAACAGACACACTCTCCATAAAGGCCGTCAAGACAAAGGGACCATCACTTACCTAACTCAGGTTGTTCTGAACATTTCCCATGACAACAACTCTGTTGTGAACATCCCTGTAAATGACTATTTTGTAGGGTGACTAGATATGGAAGTGCCAGGTCAAAGGAGTATGATTTGTTAATTCTGAAAGATCCTGCCAAATGCGACCTAAAAAATGACTGGACCGATGTATTGAACCAACAGCAGCCTGTCAGAGAACCTATTTTGCCAATACTTGGCAACATCAACCTTGTAATTTTGGTGCCAGATTTCAGGGTAAAAACAAAGATCCTGTTGCTTTAAGCTGTGTCTCCCTGATGACTGGGGTGAGGAAGAACATCTTTTCATGTCTGGGGTTCATCTGGAGGCTCTCACACTGAACTTGCACTCTCTGTGGTCCATGTCTGAATTTCTCAGTTGCTGGTTTTACCCGTCTGTCCCCTCCCTTTAACTGGCATTTAAAAAATACAGTGCTGGGCAGTGAGGGGCAGTGACAGGCTGCTCCCATCTTTTGGCAAGTTACCCTTTGCCTCAATAGGCCCATTTCCTGGAAAGAAAACTAGGGAAACCATTCAAATACAGGGGAAGATATTTCCTGCCATGGAGATGTCCACAGAAGTGTCATTTAAAATAGTGAGAGAGAAAAAATACCGCGTCCAGCTAACAGGGAAGGGAATGTTTTGCAGGTGCACAACCAACACATGTTAAGTAAGAAAGCAAAGTGCCAAACGGTATCTCAGGCGTGATCTGTAACGGTATTAAAAACAGCGTGTATGTACACACACACCTACATACATACACAGAAAAGGAAGTGGAAGATTTACACCAAGTTGCTAATGGAACGTAATTTTGTGGCTCGGAAAGGAGGGGCTTTTACTTTCTACATCATCTAAATCTCTCATTTTTAAAGATTCTATAAGAAATTGTTATTTTTCGTGAAGAAATAAAAGATTTTTAAACTGAAAAATAAACAGTGATTGTGAAAAACGTTTTAAAAGCTCATATTACAGGAAAAGTGCTAGAGCAAACAAACAAACCCCACAACAAACACACTGGGATCACCACACCAAACCCACCGCTGTCGAGCTGACTCCAACTCATAGTGACCCTCTACTGGGATTAGAGACTAACTAAAAACACTGAAAAACCAAACCCACTGCCGTCAGCTGTTGCTGCCAAGTCGATTCCGACTTACAGTGACCCTGCAGGACAGGGCCGAACTGCCCCGTGGGGTTTCCAAGACTGTAAATCTTTACGGAAGCAGACTGCCACATCTTCCTCTCATGGAGCGGCTGGTAAGTTCGAACGACCGACCTTTTGGTCAGCAGCCGAGCGCTGAACCACTGTGCCACCAGGGCTCCACATACATATCTATACACACAGGAAAACCCCGCAAAAGCCAGAACCTTTGGAAGGCAGCAACCTGTCAGAAAAGGAAAAATCGAGTATTTTCCACTAAAAATGAGCGACAGAAAAGTGGTAAGACTGCACCCTGTCAGAGGCGGGAAACAAAGCAGCCCCTGCGAGCGAGTCCTGGCTCTCACAGGTCTCACGGGCAAGACCTGGAAGATGTCACTGTATTAGCAGGCAGGTCAGGAGAAGGAGGAAAAACACAGGGTTGCTGAGTATAAAGGGGCCTGTGCCGAGTGCACTTACACCTCGTCCTAACAGGGCAGACAGAGCCGGCACAGAGGGGAAGAACCAACAACCTGGCACTCCCCTCATGAAGACGAGGGTGGAGGGCGACACCGGGAGCACACTTCCTGGCACCCTGTCTAGCATGCACCCAATGCCACGGCTTCAACTCAGGCCCCACAGCTGGAGGAAAGGTGTGGGATCACGCATTATGTCACCCAAAATCACTCCGGGACAAGGAGAAATCCTGGGACGGCATGGGGTACTCAAAGCCACTTGAGATGGGGCGGCCACAGAAGTGAGAGGGAAGCAAGAGGGCCGAGAAAGTCCACCTCTGTTGTTCCAGAGAAATGAGCCACAGATGGCAATCACGCATGCTTAAAGTACTGGAAAATTAAAACACAGGAACCTTCAAAAGGGGACCGGTTAAACAAAAACACCTGTAAGTTCTTAAAGGAATGAGCCAGATTTACAGGCACTGTCATAAAAAAAGAAGACACACTGCTAAGTCTCTAAGACATGCTCGTAAGTCAAGGAAACGAAATGTAGAACATAACATACAGTTTAATATAAGAAACTCCCACAGGCTTATGTCTGATAAATTTATATAGAGAGAAAGACAAGCAGTTAACAGGAGTTACCCCAGGAGGGGAGGCCGGGGAGCACAGAGGGCTTCTGCTATTCTATTTTACTGCACTGCTCACATCTGGTTTGTCTAAACGAGCGTTATTACTTCTGTAATAGTATCCTATTTTGATTCTAATAAACGTTTTTAATTTTAACATCTCTGAAATTAGCGTGCTTGTCACATTTACCTTCAGTAATTTTCAAAAAGATTTTAACACCTCTGACTACACCTTGCAGTCAACGGGGTCTCTTAGCTGACGAGATGGGGTGATATTAAACACGAATGTTTATTAAAAAAAAGAGGGCACTGCAGAGTATTAAATGCTGACGAAAGGTCTGGTCAGCTGGGAACTAAAAGGCTGCTTGACAGTGTCCGGATTTCTTAGAGGTGCATATTAAAGTAGGGAGGGATGAAACGACACATCTGGGACTTGCTTTACAATCCTTCAGCAAATGAAAGATAAAGAAAAGGCAGAGATGAAGCAGATGTTTGGGTGAAGGGTGCATGTGGGGTCACTGGACGATTCTAGTTTTATATTTGAGAATGTTCACAATGAGAAGGACAGGATTCCACAGGGTTAGAGACTTGACACCAAGTACACATCTACAGAGCATGTGAGCGAGATGGAGGCAGCAAGATGACCCTGGTGGCCTTGGCACAGACCTGGGAAGGGAAGCAATTCAAGCAAGGAGAAAAGGCATGAGCCCCCGTGGAGTGGGATACCTTGTCCTCCCTCCGTGCCCCGGCCCCAACAGGAGGTACCTACCCAGGACATAGGGCAGAGGGACTTGTACACACGCCGATACCATTCACACACAGAGACGTCACCCCCTTTGGTGGTCATTGCCTTCTCACAGCGGTGGAAGTCTGTGGAGAAAGGGATTCAGAGTCAGCCCAGACCAAGGGGAGGAACACATTTCTGACCAAACTCACAGTGAGAGACTCTTCCTATCTCAGGACCAGCTGCCTGCATACACACACACACAAAACAGAGGTTTTTACAAAGAACGCAGACCCTTACCAATGTACTAAAATGGCTGGACCCAACTCACTGACTCACTAACTTTGCAAGCCGCTAGAGAACTGCAGTCTGCGGGTGGCACAGACAGCTCCGCGCTTGGCTACTAACCCAAAGGCTGGCACTCTGCGTCCGCCCAGAGGCCACTGACAAACCATAAAGTGCAGTTGTGCTCTGCACCACACAGGGTCGCCGTGAATTGGGATCGACTCCACGGCAATTGGTTTGGTTTTGGTTTGACAACTGCCGTCCAATTTGAAACCTCTGGGGTCAGGGATGATGGGAAAGCATGAGGGACATGTGTGGGGATTATGGAAGCCCAGGACTAAGACAAGGCGAAGGGAAGATGGTCTTGATGTTAAGATGCTGGAGTCCTACAGAGAAAGGCTGGAGGGGGATAATCTGGTTTTAAAAGTAAGCAATTAATTCAAATTAAAAAAAAAAAAAAAAAAAGGAATTACTCTAGGCATTCCATCCTCTAGGGAGAAAAGCCTGCACACAGGCATCAAATTACATTTATAAGAATGTTTGTAGCAGCGTCATGCGCAAGAGCCCCGAAATGGAAACCACACAAGCGTCCACAAACAGAATAGATAGATTGCGGAATACCGTATAGCGATGAAAATGAACTGACGACATGCCACAGCACGGGTGAATCTTAAAAACTGGGAGAAAGAAATACGAAGAGTGCAGTCAGTATTTACAAAGCTCACTACGAAGCACACTTAAAAGCGTGGTGACAGCGCAAAATGTGGCTGCACTAGTGGGGTTTACGCTTCCGGGGGGACAGCGGGGGCTGTGCCCGAGACAGGGCGTGCAGTGGGCAGGGGAGTCCACAGTGCTGGCGATATTCCATTCTCCAATTCAGGTTAGGGTTGCGTGGGGGTTCATTTTAGAATTGTTCACTTACCTGTACATTATGTTTTAGGTACTTTCTGTACATGTTACATTACACACACACCCAAAACACCAAACCCATTGCTGTTGAGTTGATTGTTCAGAAATCAAAGTTTACAATCCTGGCCCTGGACACAGCTGGTGATGAGGGGCATTAGCCCTCCAGAGGTAAAAGAGGAGCCAGGAGCAGTGTTAGGATGCATGGGGGGACCCTAGCGGGGTGGGGGAGGGGAAAGGGTGAGGAACCTGAGGCATGTGACCAGGAGATCTGCATTCTCCCACACCATGCCCTGCTTACCCAGGTAGTTCTGCCAGCAGTTCCTGGTTTGATTCTGGTTGGGGAAGCGGCTGTCGAAAGGGGCAGTCCGGTAGTTCTTGATTTTGATCTTGATGTCTTCTGCCATGGTGGTGACTCCTGGAGGAAAGTGGGTGGGTAGTGGTAGAGACTCTGGGGTGCCCAGGCATGGGGATGTCAGCCCATCCAGGCCCAGACACAGAAGAATGGACAGAGAAAGCACAAATCCATACTTCTGGGTGTGGAAGTCACAGCACGGTTGGGGACAACTCCTTAGCAAAATCAGGCCTGGTCCCAAAATAATACACTGCATACCACATGCCAGGTGCCGTTCTACCCTTTACTCATAACAGCCACTCTATAAGGTAGGAACTGTTACCATCCCCATTTCATAGATGAGGAAACAATGTCTAAGTGACTTCCCAAGGTCATGCAGCATACAAATGGTGGGGTGCTGCACTCAATCCCTGGCGTACCCTATACTGCAGAGGTTCTTAATTTTTTTGGTGCCATGAACCCCTCAGGGGTCTGACGAATCCTATAAACCTTTTTTTCAGAATATGTTCAAATATATTTTAAAATGCATAGAATAAAAAAAAAAACAGTTCTATCTTGCTGTAGATTTATCCACCATCACAATTTTGAAATAATCATGAGTAAGAATGATATTCTGAAATCTGCAACAACTGTAATGTGATATAATAGTATCTATGAGTTTGCTTGGTGACAAAATTACAAGTGCTGCCTCCATTCTAACTGAAGGAAATGCTATATTTGAATCAATCAGAGGTTCATATAAATAACAAATGTAATTTGTCCCCCATTCAAACACTAGCATCCCTCGAATTCTATAGACTCTGTGGACCCGGGGTTGAAAAATTCTGATACAATGTCTCTAAAGAGTTGAAGCACAGCTTTCGCCTGGGAATCTGCGAGAGGCTGCCTCTGAATTGCAGAAAAACCACGGCGTCATGGTTGTACAGAGGTGCACAGACCGGGGTTCAACTCAAGCGTCCAAGGCAACGGAGGGGATCTGGAGTACCACAGTAGTCTTTGGGGGAGGAGGTGGAGAGGAAGTGGGTACGGGGGATGGAAAACACCAGCCGCTGGGAGAGAGACGTGGGTAGAAAGAGTAGCTTTATTCGGGCGAGATCTCGAACCGATATCAGGGGACGACGCTGGATCCGAGTGACAAACTCTGCGGCCCTTCCAACGTCCAAGGGAAACGAGGGGTCAGACACCAGCCATGCTGCCTTCCAGGCAAGCCCTGGGAGGTCACGCCCGCGGCCCGGTGATTAAAAGCATTGCAATCCAAACTAAACCAAAGCCAAACCAAACCCGTTGTCGTCGAGTCGATTCCGACTCATAGCGACCCTACAGGACAGAGTAGAATTGCCCCATGGGGTTTCCAAGGAGCGGCTGGGGGATTCGAACTGCCGACCTTTCGGTTAGGAAACGATCTCTTAACCTCTGCGCCACCAGGGCTCCGCCATCCAGACTAAGGGTCCAAACCCTGGTCTCTGTGTGAACTCCGCTACGTGGCTTAACAAGTCTGAGCTTCAGTTTCCCCACGGTCAAAAGGGGATAATCACAGGCTCTACCTCACAAGGTTGGAAAGAGGATGAAATGAATTAATATAAGCAAATCGCCTGGAACGCCGCCTGGCATTAAAGAAGCACCACATAATCGTTAGCTATTAGTATTAACAGAACAGGGCCCCAGAGCTGCTCACCGCGAGGCCCGACGTCACCGGCCGAAAGCCTCACTTTGTTCTCGGGGAAGCTAGGGTCTGGTTCCTCAGCCCCTGGGCTGGGGTCCTAAGTTCCCGCGCTCACCATACTCACCTAAAGACTCCCCTTAAACCGCTCCCAGCTCAATGTGACCCTCAGAAAAGACGCCTGCGTCGGACCGGAGGCGGAAGTAAGACCTGCCGGAAGTGGAGTGAGGCGAAGCATAGAGGAGTCTTCCGCGCGGCTAGAGCGCCCCTGGCGAGGCGGTGCCCGGAAGCCACTCTAGTCCCGCCCATTCAGAGAACTGCGATCTCCTATTGGGCTGACTGCCTGTTTACCATCACTCCCAGCCCAATCGTGAGCTTGCGCGGCACTTCGAAAGGCTCCCAGCTGGTACTAGGAATACCCGGTTACAGATTCCCATTACCTCCCTGGCTTTACCTGAGGAAGGTAGTTCTGGGTCTCGGCGCTGGCTGGAGAACGCGCCTGGGGAAGACTATGCTATGGGAAATACATTTACTTATCGGAGAAATATTTATTGAACACTTACCCTGTGCCAGGCACTTCTGTTAAGAGTAGGGGATACATCATTGAACAAAACACAAAAATTCCTACCTTCATTATGATTATTACGGGGCCAATTGTCAAAAGATTGAAAACAAATCAGTCTCTCCCCCGGGGTCACTCATCACATTTTGACCCAGGCTCCACCTCCCTACTCATTGTCATCTTTCTGCAAACTTCAGAAGGCACAAATTAATAAAGATTTGGGCGTCTTGGGTCTGTGATGAGCCCCGGTGGCGCAAAGGTTAAAGCGTTCAACTGCGAACCGAAAGGTCAGCAGTTCAAAACCACCAGCGGGGGAAAGATGTGGCAGTCGGCTTCCGTAAACGTTACAGCCTTGGAAACCTTATGGGGTCGCTGTCTGAATCGACGCGAGGGCAGTGGGTTTGGTTTGGTTTGGGTTTGGGTCTGTGAAGGGCCTGGCAGAAATGATTCCATCTCGGCCTTAAAAACATATCCAGAATCTCCTCTGTCACATCTGGTTTAAGCCTCTATTACCTCCAGTCTGAACTATTCCTTGACCTCCTAGCTTACCTGCTGTCCTCCACAATCTGCCTATTCAGCCAGGAGGGACCCTGTTAACACCTGAAACGATCACATTCCTCCTCAGTCCGGAACCCTCCCCTGGTTTCTGGTCTGACTCAGAGGAAAAGCCAAAGTCCTTGGGGTAACTCCTCTTCAAGGGCGACACAGTAGGTAAACTCACAAATTAGCGATTGGGTCTGACTCCTTCAGGTGCCCAACACAGGGCAGGCACACAGTAGGCCTTGGGGCCTGGATTTGATTCCTTTGCATGCCGCATCAGAGTCCACACACAGTAGGTCCCTTAAGGATCAGTCTCTTTTGGTCACTATTGTGTCTCTGGAATACTCAGCACGGAAGGGGAGGGGGCGGGTGTGGTGGCGCACACGTAGGATCCCTAGCGTTAGTGGGAAGGGTGTAGACCAGCACACACGACAAGCTTTGACGGGATATTATTTTTATTGGGTCACTGCTCTCTGTCGGCCCCCGCGCGATCAGGCTAGGCTAGACCCGGCACGCGGCTCCCGAAGCGGTACGTGTACTTGCGCCCACCGCTCTTGAGCACGATGTCGCGGCGGTAGTAATAGCGCAGGCCCCGGCTCAGCTTCTCGTAATTCATGCCGGGCTTCCTCTTGCGCTCGCCCCACAGCCGCGCCACCTGGGGCAGAGGCGGGGCTTAGACAGAGAGGGCGGGGAAGGAGCGGGATTGGCAACGGATGGGAGGGGTCTGGGGCGGGGACGGGGTAGGGTCCTGACCAAGGTTAGTAGGTCCGAGTGGGGTGGGGCTAACGTAACTTTGGTTGAGGCTGGGGTAGAGGCCGGGGCGCGGCTGAACCAGAGGGGACTGGGGCGGCGTTTGGCCGGGCGGGGCTGGGGGGCGGCCAAACCTCTTTGGGGTCGCAGAGCTGGAACTCGCGGCTGTTGCCCGTCCAGCGGATGCAGCTGCTACGAGCCCCGTCGCGGAGCAGCTCCAGTAGGAACTGCCACAGCTGAATAGGACCTGCGACGAGGAGGCGGGCGAACACTCGGGCTTTCCGGCCCCAGGCCATGCCGCTTCCTTGACCCAGGACGTCCCGGGCGTGCTCCCAACTCGAGGCCCCAAGAATCTGGAGCCCTTCACATAGGGGACCCAAGAGTCTGCCTTGGAAACTCAAGCATCCGCTCCTTCTCCCCATCTCGGGGATTTAGGAGTTTAGCCTCCCTACCTCGGAGATGGAGCCCTGGTTGTGCAATGGTTAACACCTCCGCTGCTAACCAAAAGGTCGGCAGTTCGAACCCACCAGCCTCTCCATGGGAGAAAAGACCTGGTGACCAGCTCCCTTGAAGATTGCAGCCTAGGAAACCCTAGGGGGCAGTTCTACTCTGTCCTATAGGGTCTCTATGAGTCGGAATCGACTCGATGGCACACATCAACAACCTCGGAAATCCAGGGGTCCCCTGGAGACTGGGTCCCCATTTGCTTCCTACCTAGAACACTGCCAGCATCTGACCCTTGGCGGTCTCCCGCGAGCACCAAGGTACCTAAGCCCCGCCCTCAGACCATTTCCCAGGTTCCTCCCCCATAAGCCTCTAGACCCCGCCTCACTGCGCTCAGGGACGTCTCACCTCGGTGGTTAGTTTTGGGGTAACAAGTCAAAGCGGTACGGTCCGACTGCTGCCTCGGTTCCGAGCCAGTGGTGCGATCTGAACTCTGGCACCCCTCCGAAGAGGCGGTGGAATCCGTGTTCTGCCCCGGGGCCCAGGAGGTGGTACAGTCCGAGCCCGCAGGCCCGCCCCACGAAATGGTACAGTCCGCGCGCGGTCCTTGGCTGAGGTCCCGGCAGGTGGCGCCGTCGGGGCCGATCGAGAGGTCCCAGCCGGTGCAGCCCCCAGCGGCTTGGGCGGGGAACCACAAAGGGGCCGCTCCTGCTGACGGGGTACAGTTCAGGCCCGCCACCCCTTCCGAACCTGCGAAGGGGGTGGGGCCCAGGCCGCGGCCGGCTGGGTCCAGGGCCTGGGAGGCGGGACTCCAAGGGTTCGAGCCGAGGCACGCCAGGTCCGTCCAGTCTCCAGGCCACAGAAGGGCCTGAGGGGCGGGCTCTGTAAGAAGGACCGGACCCCAAGTGAGGGGAGCTCAGGTGTCCCGGCCCTCGCCCCCTCGGATGGCCTAGGGGTCTAAGCTGTCAGCCCCGGCGCCTCCTGTCCCGGGCTCCGGTTACCCGGGGGTGGAGGGAGCAGCTACCTGGGTCCAGGTCATGCCACCTTGAAGTTAAGGCGTCTCCAGTCCCAGCCCGTTTCCCTTCAACGACCTGGGAATCTAGGCCTCCAGCCCCGGTGCTCCGGGACCCTCAGTTTCCTCCTACTCCCACCTTTCCACACACACTCACCCGTTCCCCAAGGAGCTTCTGGGTGCGCTAAGGCAGAGCCCCAGTCCACCTGCGGGAGCCCTGTGAGGGGCAAGGTGGTAACTGAGTGGACGAAAGGACGGCAGTAATGATTAGAAGAAGTCTTTATTCCTCAGGGATTGGGAGTTAGCCCCTCGGCCCCTACTCACCCAGACTTAGGACGCAGGCCCTGGGACCCCTCCTCCCTTAACCTCAGGAGTTCAAGCAGACGCCCCCTCCCCACACAGACCTAGGAGCCCAGCCCTCTGTCTTCTCCAGCGCCCCGGGGGCCCAGCCTGCAGCCACCTTTGCAGCTTGCGCCTGCTCTCAGCGTGTCCTCTCGGCGTGCCAACTCAGCGAAATAGAAGCCAAGTTCGGCTCCTGCTGCAGGCAATAAGGTAGTTAAGGCCAGTTCAGGGGTCAGCGGGGGTCCCCACGCGGCGTCCTCCCCGCAGTCTCAGCCCCAGCAGCCTACCCAGCCCCGAGAGCCTGTTCCCAGGGGGCACTTCCTGTGGTGATGCTTCATCCCAGTCCAACAAATCCATGGACGTTGGTTGTGAATATTCTGGGCCGGGAAAATGCGGAAGAGCCAGGGTGAGCTGGTGGCACTTAGGGACCCTGGAGTCTGGACCCCCACCCTCGCTTCCCTCAGACCCAGGAGTCCAGGCCTCTGCTCCCTCCTCACCCAGTCCCCAGCTCTGCTCTGCGCTCACCTCTGGCAGGTCCCTCTGCCCTCAGCCGGGGGTCTCAGCCCCATTTCATACCATGCACCCCCTCCCCCGGAGGCCTGGGCAGGGGGGAATTTTCCGAGACGTCAGAGCTGGGGGTTGCAGGGTCGAGTTGCAGGGGCGGGGCGGAGCCGCGCGCCCCCAGCCTCAGGGATGGGCGCCTGCCCCCCCGGGTCGTTAGGGCTGTCCTGCAGCAGGGGCGGCTTGGGCCTGGACCTGCGCTTCGGGAACAGCGGGCTGGGGGGAGTGGGGAGCGGTGCGGGGTGATGGGGGGGCAGGCGGGGCCGGGGGCTTAGTGTACAGGTTCTCCGGTTTGGGGACTTGAATCTGCGACATGGCGGGGGGAGAGGGTCTGGGGTCGGCAGGCTGAGCTGGGCTTATCTGCGACAGGAAGCGGGATTTCCGGCCATCTCCTCCCCACCACCGGTCGACGTCACAATCCACAGGGGTGACTGGGTGGGCTGAGGTGAAGGGAGGCCGGCCCGGGAAACCCTACCAGACCCAGTTCACCCCTTCCAAGGGTGCTGGGGGGACGTTCTGGGGCTGCTCCCTAGAAATGTCAATCACAGTAACATCGACAGTGTCAACAGTAACAACGGTAATAGTAATAGCTGACGTTTTCTTGGGGGTCTTTGCTGTGCTCAACTGTGCTGTTCTTCATTTAATCCTCTTAACAGGTAGTGAGTATTCTCATTGGCATTTTATGAAGCGGGAAATTGAGGCAGGCTTCTTCCTACTTCCGCTGCAGATCCCATGCCCTTCCATGTCATAACAGACAGTTTGGGACGACTGGAGAAATTTGAGCATGAATTGAATACGGGAACCCAGCATTATTGTTAATTTCCATAGCTGTGATAATGGTATTATGATAGGAAAGATGTTTCTATCAAGAGATGAATACCGAGGTATTCAGGAGTGAGGTGTTACAATGTCTAACATCTGAAGAAATTCCGATGATTCAGCAAAAAACAAAAATGCATACATGCAACATATACATACACACGTGCAACATTTAGGACATACTTATACTAAAAAATTATTCCTTCTCTGAAATTCACATTTAAGTGATTGTCTTGTATTTTTATTTTCTCCTTCCGGCAACCTGGCTTCAGACTCCATGCTCATGTCCATCATGGTACGTTAATAGGTAAATGGTATTTACCATTAAAAATAACCTAAGTCTTTATACGGACATTTTCCAATATTCACCCAGCTGCAGTCATTAACCACTTGTCATGCTTGTTTCATCTCAGTAATTGTTACTCTCTGGCAGCTTCTACTCTGAACACCTTCTCCTTTGTAAGGCAGAAGGGGGTGAGGGAGCGAGCGGGTGGAAGGCGGGAGGAACGAGGAGAGTGAGCACTGCTCTTCGGTTCCTGTTGTTGTCGGGTGCCTCGAGCGGGTCCCGACTCTTAGTGCCCCGTGGACAACAGAACAAAACACTGCCCGGTCCTGCGCCATCTTCACAATCGTTGCTATGTTTGAGCCCATCGTTGCAGCCACTGTGTTAATCCATCTCCTTGAGAGTCTTCCTCTTTTTCACTGACCCTCTCTACTCTACCAAGCATAATGTCCTTCTCCAGGGGCTGATCCCTCCTGATGACATGTCCACAGTATGTGAGATGAAGTCTCGCCATCCTTGCTTCTAGGGAGAATTCTGGCTGTACTTCTTCCAAGACAGACTTGTTCGTTCTTCCGGCAGTCCATGGAATATTCAATATTCGCCAACACCACAATTCAAAGGCGTTAATTCTTCTTCGGTCTTCCTTATTCATTGTCCAGCTTTCACGTGCATATTGCAACTGTCCATTTTACAGAAGGGATAATATGGTCTCTGCCCGTCTGTCCAACCCCAGAGGCCTGAAGGGAGTCCTGACCTTCCCTGCCCCCCAGGCCCTAGGCCCCCTCTCCAGGAGAGGTCTCAAATTCCCTCTGTTCCCGTCTTCACCCCTTACTGCCCCACTCTGACGTCACATTTTCCAGTCTGGCCTGAGGGTCAGAGGCCTCTCCCTGTAGGTTCCCCAGCTCTGAGCGTAGCCCCAGGCCTGACTCCACTGACGCCTGTCACCCAGTGTCTGCTGACAAGTCTCGGTCTGTGTCCACCCGAGTCTCCCCAGGTCCCTCACCAGAGAGCTCCTCTCTCATCTTTTCTGTTTCCATCTCCCTTCTCGCTGCACTATTTCTGACCGATCGTTCTCATCTTTCTTCATCCCTTTGCCTCGAGTTTCCCTCCCCACCCCACCCCATCTCAGCCATTTGTGTCTCTGCCCCACCCCACCTCTATGCTCCGTTCCTCCTTGTTCCCAGAAGGGCTCCTGGCACTCCTTTAAAACCTCCTCCTGGAACCGTTCTCCCTCCCAGTCTCCTTCCTTGCCTCCCTAGCTGCAGTGAGTGGGAGGTGGTTGGGGACAGGGAGGCTAGCGATGGGGGGTGGGCTGAGGGTCCTGGGGCTGGGTGGTCTAGCTCAGGTGGGAGGGGGCCGAAGGGCACTTCCTGCTGGGGAGGGAGGCCTTCCCCCGCTGACCCTCAGGCCAGACTGGAAAATGTGATGTCAGAGTGGAGCAGTGAGGGGGAAAGACAGGAACAGAGGGAATCTGAGACCTGGCACCATCCTTCTGCCGCCCCAAAGTCCTTTCCAACTTGCTTCCTCCCGGTGAGGGGTCCTGATGGCTGCTGCGCCCCTAGGAGATTCTCATCCCAACCACCCTCTTCCAGAACCTCGCCATCTTCCTCCTCTGGCAGGTCTCTGCCCCAGCCTCCTCCAGAAGCATGGCCATCTCAGGGCTCCTACTCAAGTGCCAATCTGTCATGCCACCTCCCTGCTTAAATGTGTCTCAGCTTCCTGCTGCCTTCAGGCTAAAGTTTAAGCTTCTACCCTGGCATTCAAGGCCTGGCAGGCAGACAGGCAGACAAGCTCCAAGCTGGTAAAACAGGGCCACACAGTGGGTGGTGGAGCTGGGATGTACCCAGAGTTAGATGACCCAGAGCCCTCAGGCATCACTGGCTTCTCCAGCTATCCAACCCCAGAGACAGAGATGCAAGAGAAAGTAGAGATTCAGATAGGCAGAAGCTTAGAAGAAACAGGGACACTCACGGAGACGCTCAGAGGGAGAGACAGGGAAGGAGATAAGGAGAAACACTCAGAGAGACCCACACAGATGTACAGTAGGAGGAGTTTGCTGGGCTTTGGCAGAGAACAGTTTGAGACCCAGGGAGTGAGAACTGCAGACGCTGGGAAGGAGACAGAGACAGAACGATGGGACAGTGAGACAGGGCCTTGGCAGTGGCCAAGAAGCATTTAGGAGGCCTGTCAGGCACCTCCTCAGAGCTCCTACAGCACCCTGGGTCCCCCCGTTTTATCCCTGACCAGCGTGGGCTGTGACTGGAAACGAGCCTCTCTCCTGCCACTGGACTATGAGGTCCCAAAGGGCGGGGCCAAGAACCAGCTCGCTCACTGCTGTGTCCCCAGCATTGTCCCGGGCCTCGGTGAGTTTGCTGAATGGATGCTAGCCTAGAAGGCTGTGAGCTCCAGAAGGGCAGGGCCCGAACAACCTCATACCTCCTTGGTGATGAGAACACAGTTGCAGTTAGGACGTGGGTCTGAGTCTCGACTCAGCTCAGCTGTGGCCTTGCCGTGAGCATCCACCCCCCCCCGTGGAGTGGACAGCGCTCAGCATGTGCTTATGAGGTTTCAAGATTAACGGACACACAGCACGGGCTCTAAAATGTCTGCCTGGGTGTTCACCTGGACAAACCTTCAAGGCTCTCCACCATCCCCAGATGGGGCATGCCAAGCCCCACTCCTGAGTGCTTCCAGGCAGTGGCCCAGCCAGGGATGGAAATGAAAGTAGATTTATTGAAACTGGTTTTGGGGCAGGTGTGTGGGTCCAGTTGGGGAGTTTTCCAAAGAGAACCATGGGGAAGAGCCGGCGCCCGGCCAGGTGGAGCGGGAGCCCAGCCACAGACCCTATCTCAGGCCCAGCTTCTTCTTCTCCTTCTGCTTCTTCCGTACCACGTCCAGGTTCCGGTCCTTCCACATACTCTTGCGCAGCTTGATGGGGCGTGAGCCCACGTACTTCCCTGTGGGTATGGGGGCTCAGGTCAGGCTCGGGGGCACAGGCCAGACGCCCACCACACCCGCCGCCCCCGGGGAGACCTCACCCACCGTTCATCTCGCGCATGGCGCGCACGTAGTCGCTGGGGTCCTTGAAGCTGACGAAGCCATAACCCTTAGTCTTGCCCGTGCGCTTGTCACGGATCACCTTAGCCTTAAGGAAGGATGGGAAGCGGCTGAAGGCACGCGCCAAGATGTCATCATTCACCTCGTTGCCCAGATCCCCACAGAAGATCCGGAAGTCATCTGGAGTTGGGAGAGACAAGAGGTCAGAGAGGAGGCAGAGGCCAGTCCTGCCCCCCTGGCCTGGCCCAGTGCGTGCCTTAGATCAATCACCCACCTTCTCTGGAGGCATCCCTTCCTTTTTAGTAATAACCAACCCCTGTGTAGGTTCTCCGCTAAGCGCTCCTAAGGTTCTAACATACTTCATCCTCCCAACAACACTTTTACACTAAGGTGCAGGTCAGGTCACCTGCCCAAAGTCACACAGCCAGAAAGCGGCAGACACGGGACATGAACTCAGGCACCTGGCTCCAGAGCCCTCACTTTAAGCCCTCACTGCACTGCCCTTCCCACCCCAGGGCCATCCCACCCGTTCCCGCAAAAACCGCCCACCTCCATCCCAGCCCTGGCCTCTCCTCTGTGCTCCTGGGGTCCCGTGGTCTCCTGGACGCCTTCCCGTGAATCCCAGGGGCTCCTAACACCTACCGGTATGGCACCTCTGCACCAGAGGCTTTGCCTTTCCTCAGCTCTGCTTCCTCGGCAAAGCCTGTTCTGATACTCCCTTCAGCCCCTGAAACCCGCACACACTGCCTGATCCTTCTCCAACCCAGCTCTCAGCTGAGGTTGTCCGGGCCCTGCCCTTCTGGAGCTCACAGCCTTCTAGGCTAGCATCCATTCAGCAAACTCACCGAGGCCCGGGACAATGCTGGGGACACAGCAGTGAGCGTATGTGTCCTCTGGGCCGGGGCTGTGCCTGTACTGAACATACTCCATCCCCATGAGGCAAATACTATCGCCTTTCTGGAGATGAGAAAAATGAGGCTGAAAGGCTAAGTGGCTTCCCCCAGGTCACAGAACTAGGATCTATGGCCTCCACCAGCCATGTCGGGCCTGAGGCTGCCAGAGCCCAGGCCTGGAGCAGGGAGACAGTCCCAGGAGAGGTGGCAGAGGTCAAAGACTGGGGTGGGTCCATTCCCTCCTCGGATACAGCTCTGGCTGCCCCATGGCTTCTGCAGTGATTAAAAAAGCTCTGAGAACAAATTCAGCCACCCCAGGAACTCAGAGGGTGGGACCTGCTACAGGACAGCCGGCCTGCGTGCGCTAAAAGACAGACATGAACTGAAGACCTGGGAGGGAGACCGTTCCGTATTAAGATAACGTAGACACAGAACTAAAGGCAACATGTGCGTTTTGACTGGATCCTGACGTGGGGACAAAGAGTAGTTTTGGGACAACTGGGGAAATGCGGGGGCCTGGTGGCACAGTGGTTAAGAGCTGGGCTGCTAACCAAAAGGCCGGCAGTTCGAATCCACCAGCCACTCCTTGGAAACCCTATGGGGCAGTTCTACTCTGTCCCACAGGGTCGCTGTGAGTCAGAATCAACTCGAAATGTAAACATGAACTGAATATGAGATACCATGTAATGATTTTTAACTTTCTTAGATGTGATAATGGTGTTACGATAGGAAAGAGGGTGCATTCCGACGTGAAGCGCTGTCGTGTTTACAACTTGCTTCAAGTGACCAAGCCAAAACCAAAAAAATACATGAAGTGCTAAAGAAAATACGGCAAAATGTGGATTACTAAGTCTCGGCTGCTGGCTGAAAGTGAAGGGGACTTGAAGCACTTCCTGATGAAGACCAAAGACCACAGCCTTCAGTATGGATTCCACCTCAACATAAAGAAAACAAAAATCCTCACAACTGGACTGATAAGCAACATCATGATAAACTGAGAAAAGACTGAAGTTGTCAAGGATTTCATTTTACTTGGATCCACAGTCAACGCCCATGGAGGCAGCAGTCAAGAAATCAAATGACACATTGCATTGGCCAAATCTGCTGCAAAAAACATCTTTAAAGTGTTAAAAATCAAAGATTTCACCTTGAAGGTGTGCCTGACCCAAGCCACGGTGTTTTCAATCACCTCATATGTATGTGAAAGCTGGGCAATGAAAAAGGAAGACGGAAGAATTGATGCCTTTGAATTACGGTGTTGGCGAAGAATATTGATACACCATGGACTGCCAGAAGAACCAACAAATCTGTCTTGGAAGTATGGCCAGAACACTCCTTAGAAGTGAGGATGGCGAGACTCCGTCTCACATACTTTGGACATGTTATCAGGAGGGACCAGTCCATGGAGAAAGACATTATGCTTGGTAAAGTAAAGGGTCAGTGAAAAAGAGGAAGACCCTCCACGAGATGGACTGACCCAGTGGCTGCAACAACGGGCTCAAGCATGACAACGGTGGCATGGCGAAGGACGGGGCAATATTTCAGTCTGTTGTACGCAGGGTCGCTGTGGGTTTGAACCAACTCAATGGCACCTAACAACAACAAGGCTGTTCGCTGTACTGTTCTTTCAACTTTTCTGTCAAATTTTTATTTTCACTGAATTTTATTTTATTATGAAATTTTTCATAATAATGTGGGAGAACTGGAGAACGCTCTCTGACTTTTAGCGAGCCAGTCCCTCCATGAGTAGAGCAGGGGTCAGAGAGCCTAGGCGCCGGCCAGTGGCTGGGCGAGTGTCCTAGCCTTTAGAGCCGCAGCCTTGCCCTCCATGAGCTGGACAGCAGTGGTGCAGCCTGAAGGGGAGGGTGCTCGGCCTGTCCCTGGCTGAGCAACGCCCAACCCACACTTGAGCCCACTCACCCGCATCCCACTCCAGCAGGCTGGGGTCCTCCCAGCTGCTCCCGGCCGCTGTACGAATGCAGCGCTTCAGTTTCTCCGGCTTCCCTTTCTTCTTGTCCTCACCCAGGGGCTCTGGGACCTGCAAAGGAAGGAGGATGGAGTAAGTTTTTGGGGCAAAGGGCTTCGTGTTGATGTCCTTTGGGCCCATCTGCCCCCATCAGGCTCTCCCACCCTCCTCTGCACCCTGCCTCTCCTGCCTCTATAGTCAGAGCAATTGATGCACTCCTAGGCGTGGGTGACATGCGTCTGCCGCCCAAGGCCCCCACCTCCAGGGCCTCCAGCCCCTCCAGTCTCTGGATCATTTCTACGTCCCAGATAGAAGATCACATGTATGTGTGTGTGTGTGTGTAAGCTCAGGCGCGTCTGCCCACCCTCCCAGCCCTTTCACTGACATACTCCTTGCTTACCTCGAGAGCCATGAGGCCAGGCGGTGGCTCAGGTCGAGGCGGCCGGGGCCTTGGACGCAGGGACAGGAGCTCGGGGATGCGCAATGGGGGCAATAGGCCGCGAACTACCTCCAGCGGGAGGGGCAGGGGCTCGGGCTCAGGTAACGGCATGGCCAGGGCCAGTGGAAGGCTGGGCCCAATGACCACAGGGCCAGCTGGGGTACCCCCTGCCCCCACGGCCACTGCCGCACTGGCCTCCTCCAGCCCGGCTGCCGCCGCCACCACTGCCTCTTCCTTCTCTTTCAGGCCCAGGCCCAGGCCCAGCCCTAGCTCTCGGGGAGCTGCTGGCTCTTCCTGTGGGCAAAGGGAAGGCGTGAGGGGGCCAGCCACAGGCTAAGCCTCACTCCCACTCCCACCTTATACAACATAGCAAGGGCCTGGCCTGAAAACAGGAAATGAGAGATCTAGACGGAGAAAGGAGGACAGACACCCAGAGACAGAGACAAACACAGGTGGAGAAAGGGAGAGACAGACAGAGAGACACAGAGATAAACATAGAGACGAGCAAAAATGCCAGGTGAGAGAACCAGAGAGAGAGAAGGACAGATGGAGAGATGTTCAGACACACACACATCAAGACAGAAAAACACTGAGAGCAGGACAATCAAACAAAGGAACAACAGACGTACAGAGAGATAAATCAGTCCTTATTCTGTGTTTCTCTCCATACTCTCTTTACAAAAATAAAGAAAAACAAAAACAGGAAAATGGAACCACAGAGCGTCAGGGAAAGACAGAGGCAGAGAGAGACGTTTGAGGAAGTCAGAGCCCATGAGGGCAGGGATGTGACGAACGAGGGGAGAGGCAGACTGAGACAGAGCCCCCGTGCCCAGACCGAGGGTCTCCCCACCCACCCACTTCCAGCCACCCGCAGCCTGTTGGCACTCACCAGGGGAGGCCGCATGGCTGCCATGGAGCCGAGGGGGGGCCCTGGGGCCCGAGCCATCGGTGGTAGCATCATGGGTGGTCCAGGGGGCCCAGGCAGCGGGGGGCCCACGAGAGCCTGGTGAGGTGGCCGAAGGCCCATTGGGCGGGGGCCACCTGCTGCAGAAGAGAGAGCAGAATCTGTCAGGGTGTTAGTGGGGGTGTTGGAGGGCTCAGGGCTGGGTATGTGGCAGGAATGACGACCATGGCCCCCTCACCTGCTCTCTGCAGCACATGGGGGACGAAGGCTGGCCGAAGGATAGGGGCCCTCTGGGGGGCCACGGCTGTGGGAGAGAGAGATGGGGGCGTGTGTCATGGGGGACCGGGGCACTCGGGACAAAGTGTGGGAAGACAGTTTCAGCATCCAAGAGATCTCAGAGAAGAGTCTGGGGAAGCGCCTGGGAGACGTGTGGATCTTTTCACGCGTTCCGGTGGCAAACACTAACCACTGAGGGTCTCCTCTGTACCCAACCCTGTGCCGGGCAATGCCAGGCCCACGCCAGCAGACCAAGGCTCTTGGGGAGCTCCCAGTGCAGGGCTGGGAAGAAGAGACTCCGCACCAGAGTGATCAGGGCTAGGATGGGGAAAGCCCTGGGAGTTGTGGGAGCCCAGAGGAGTCCTCTGACCAGCCGGGGGGGCTAGAGAAGGCTTCCTGGAGGGAGGAACCTGTGAGCTGAGGCCAGAAGGTAATAAGAGCCAGTCAGCAAAGCAACTATCAGAGGAAGGGAGAGCATCTGAGAGCGAAGGCTCCCCCCTGCTGTCGGTCAGTGCGACTGTAATAGAAGACACGGAGGGTTAGAGAACTTCCTAAGATACACGTCAAGAGCTGAGCAGCCACCCAGGGGTGGCCTTGCTGGCTGAGCCGTGGCTGTCCTCCCGAGGGCGCCGGGGAGCCACAGCAAGGTTGGAGACTGGGCAGGGTGACTGGCTGAGATGTGCATTTTGATCAAGACCATAATGCAGAGTGAGAGATGCCACAACTTCTCAGATACCATCGGATAAAAAGACAAAAGAATAACTGGATTCAGATAAAACAATCCATAAGTATACCAGGAGTTTATACCCAACTGAGAACACACATTCTTATCATACACACAGAGAACTACTGTCACAAAAACGGACCACAAGTTTGCAGGTCACCTTAACAACAAGAAGAGAGAATGGCCTGGGGGAAGGATAGGCTGGGGGATTAGAGCTGGGTGACAGTGAGCAAGGGAGAGAAAGGAGGTCAATGGGAGCGCTGCTGGCACACCCGAGCAATGTTTCGAGCTCCTAGAGGATGTGAAGGGTCCCCCTCCGCGTAGGGCCTTCAATGCTAGGTGAGAAGCTTGGCAAACAATATGTAACATCTACTATGTGGCAGGCACCAAGACCACTGCCCTTCGCGGAGCGAGGCAAAAGACGATCGTAACAAACGAGTAAGTCGCATCGCCTGTTAGAAAGCGATGAAGTGCTGCGGAGAAACACGGTAGAGACTGAGAGCGAAGGGTGGGGGGACAGTCTGCCAGAGTCAGGGGAGCCAGACGTCAGGCTTATGTTGGAGGAAGGGGACAACATCAGGGTGGGGAAGGAAGTGGAGGGGGTGATTTCAGAGTAGGGAGGCCAGTGATTTAGGTAAGAGGCTAAAACAGTCAACAAGAAGGCCTGACAAACCACAGAGATGTTTTTGTTTCCAGGGAAACGTGGGGTCCCCAGCCCCAGACCTACCTGCTCGCCTCAGGAACATGGCTTCTCGAGCCTCTGGACTGTCCAGGTGACTCCGATCAGCAGGGCCAAAGCCAACTGTTGGGAGGGGAGAGACGAGCATGGTGGGAGGCATCCCCTTTTACCGCTTGCCTGAAGCTCACCCCCACCCCACACCCCTTACTAACCTGGGCCCACAAAGGGGGGGCCGCCCACCATGGGAGGAACCACTGTGGCTGCAGCGGCTGCCCGAGCCTCTAGCGTCTGCTGGACCTGTTGGGGAGGAGGACAGGGTAAGGACTCTGACTCGGGGCCCCCCGTCTGCCCTGACTGGCTCATCCCGGGAGGCCAAAGGTTTTCCTCTCTGCACTCTGTGTGCTCTCAGCTAAACTGCTACTTCTCGGGAGACCTTTGAGATCACACCAGCTGAAGGTGCCCTACGTCCTCCCAGTAGCAACGTCTCTCACCACCCCGTCTCATCTTCCCCACTAACACCACCCAAAATTATGTCCACCTTGTCCTCTCCAGCTCCCACGCCACCTCTCTGGTCCAAGCCACCATCATGTCTGTGCTTGGCCCCTACGATCTATTTTCCAAACACAGCAGAGTGACCCTGCTAACATCTAACTCGGACCGTATCACCCCTCTGCTCAAAATCCCCCACTACTCCTGATCTCAGAGTAAAACCCGAGGTCCTTACGGGACCCACAAGACCTCACGACATCTGATCTGTCATCTCTCTGCCTCATCTCCTGCCACGGTCCCCTTGTTTGTTGTCGTTAGGTGCCGTCGAGTCGGTTCCGACTCCCCGCGACCCCGTGTACAACAGAACAAACACTGCCTGGTCCTGCGCCATCCTCATGACCACTGTGACGCTTGAGCCCCTCGCTGCAGCCACTGTGTCAGTGCATCTTGTTGAGGGTCTTCCTCTTTTCTGTTGACCCTCTATTTTACCAAGCATGATGTGAGAGACCAACCACACTGATCTCTCTGCTGTTTCCTGAACACATCAGGTATGCATCTGCCTCAGGCCCCTTGTGCTGGGAGTGCTTTCCCCAGACAGCTGCATGGTTCCCTCCCTTACTTCCTTTATACCTTTGCTTTAATGTCAGTTTTCAGAAAGGCCTTCCCTAACTATGCTGATAAACCCCTGCCCTTTTTACCCTACTCTGGCCTGTCTCTCCCTCAAAAAACCAAAACCAAACTCATTGCTCAGTCCATTCCGACTCACAGCGACCTTACAGGACAGGGCAGAACTGCCCCATATGGTTTCCTAGGAGTGGCTGGTGGATTCAAACTGTCCACCTTTTGGTTAGCAGCCAATGTAAACTCCAAAAAGGCAGCGTTTTTTCCTCTGTTCCTTCTCTGCTATATGCCTAATGCCTAGAATAGTGCCTGGTGCACAGAAGGCATGCAAAAATTATTTGTTAACAGAATAAAAGCATTTCACTTATTTTTTTTCTTGTTAATAGTGTCCGTCTCCACTAGTCACATGTAGCTGGCTACTGAGCACTCAAAACGTGACTAATGCAACCGAGGAACTGTTTAACTTACACCTAAGTTTTAAACAGGTTAGAACATTTTCATTGTTGCAGAAAGTTTTATTGGACAACATGCTTTAGAATATAAGCTCCCAAAGGACAGAAATGTTGTCTCTCTTAGTCATTACTGTGTCCTCAGCATCTAGAATAGCGCATGGCACATAAAATCTGTCATGCTTATTAATCAACAAGACAACACGTGAATAGCTCTCTGTATATAAACACCTACTGTGTGCTAGGCATTGTGCTCCCTGCCTTATAAGCCTCAGCTCGGCCGTACCTGCTGGTATGTGTTGGTCGCGATAATCGGGCGGATCACAGGAGCTGCTGGGACCTGCATCGCTTCTACCGTGGGAACAGTAGGCACCGCGGGCACAGCAGTCGGGATGCCGGTTATCGGAGCCCCCAGAACTTCCTGCTCAAACCTGTAGGAGCAGGACAGACACTAGCGATCAGGGCCTCACATCAATGCTGGAACGCTGGGTCTATCGCGACAGCGCCTTCGCCCCTGCCAATCTTCGCATCCCCGCCTCCACAATCCCGAAGGTCCCACTTCCCCACGACAGAGCCATATCCTGGGCCTGTGGCGGCCAGGAGACGCCAGGAGTTGGCGGCTCTGATTCTCGGACAGCTTTTATCGCGCTGTGCCGCGGGCCTTACAGGGCCATCTCCGCTTCCATCTCCTTCAAGCGTTCCTCGCCGCTCTTGCCCGGAATGCCAGCGCCAGGGCCCGGGACCACGGGTCCTCCTGCACCCGGGAGTCCCGGGGCTGGCCCCGCCCCGGCCATCGCTGCTGCCGTCGCTTCGCTGCTACTACCGCCTCGGCTCCGCCGCCGCCTCCGCCGCCGCCGGCTTTGCTAGTCTACTCTCTGGCTACGTCAGGGTGGGCACCCGTGGATGGCGTCAGAGCGAAAGCGACGAGCGCTGGTAAGTGACGTCAATACGTCAATAGGGGCCCGCCTTTCCGACTTGGAGCGAGGGCCAATGAGAACCCGGCCACTCCCCGAGGTCCCACCTCAAGAAGGAATTTGGACCAATGAGAGTGCCGAAAAGAGGAACCGGTGGAAAAACCTGGGCCTATGAGAGCGCAGCGAAGACAGGCTGCCAAGACTTCACGGAGGAACATGGACTAATGAGAGCGCAGCAGAGTCAGTTGACCCCACCCCCAATGTAGAATCTGGGCCTTTGAGAGCTCCGGAAAGTTTGGAGGCCCCGCGCATGGACCAAAGGAAGTTTTTAAAAGCACGTTGACGTCTTGTGACGCTCAGGCTTGGGCGAGGCCGGAGACACAACGGGGACGTGGGCTCCGACTCTAGGGTAGTAAACCGGGGCGCTACCAGACTATGACTCCCAGAAACGGACATTATGGAGGACGCACAAAGGGGGCGCCTGACCCGGGTTTCCTGGAGGAAGTGACATCTGAAGTATAAGAAGATATTTGCTGGGCGAAAATGGGAGCGATGTTGTGGATAGAGAGAACAGCTCACGCACAGTCCAGAAACAGGAGTCAGAGGCGTCACTTCAGAAGGACGCGTGTGTGGGTTTGGTCTCTGCGTCCTTTCTCGGGACACAGCTGGCCCTTCCTTTTGAGGGAAAGTTTTCAAAATGTTTAATTAGGAATATTTTCAACCGTACACAAGAGTGGAGAGAATAATATAATGAACCCCCATGTACCTCTCAACTTCAACAATTATCAATATTCTACCCCTCTATTATATATATTTCCCACATTTTTGTTTAAAACCTACAGCAAAATTTTTTTAAAAAGCTCAGTAGACATAACTTATCAGAATTGACCGATTGTTTAATATTTTGCTACATTTACTTTTTTTCCTGAACTGTCTGAAAGTATAAATCAACACCCATGGAAGCAGCAGCCAAGAAATCAAACGACACATTACATTGGGCAAATTTGCTGCAAAAGATCTCTTCAAAGTGTTAAAAAGCAAAATGTCGTTTTAGGCACTAAGGTGCACCTGACCCAAGCCATGATGTTTTCAGTCGTCTCATATGCATGCAAAAGCTGGGCTATGAATAAGGAAGACGGAAGAAGAATTGACACCTTTGAGCTGTGATACTGGTGAAAATGTTGAATATACCATGGACTGCCAAAAGAACGAACAAATCTGTCTTGGAAGAAATACGGCCAGAATGCTCCTTAGAAGCAAGGATGGCGAGACTTCATCTCACGTACTTTGGATACGTTATCAGGAGGGACCAGCCTCTGAAGAAGGACATCATTCTTGGTAAAGTACAGGTTCAGTGAAAAAGAGGAAGACCCTCAACGAGCTGGATTGACACAGTGGTTGCAACGATGGGCTCAAGCATAACAACGATCATGAGGATGGTGCAGGAGCGTGCAGTGTTTCGTTCTGTTGTACGTAAGGTCGCTATTAGTTGAAACCAACTCGACGGCACCTAACAACAACAACAATCTGAAAGTAAGTTGCAGACATTACTCCTAATACTTCAACACACATCCCCTAAGAACATTTTCCACCCAACCGCAATACAATTATCCCACCAAAGATATTTAACACGGATACGATAGTATTCTCTAATAGACAACTTATCCCCAATTGTCCCAAAAGTGTATTCCTGCATGGAGAAGCTCCTAGTCCAGGGGAAGATTGATGACAAGGACCTTCCTCCAGATCAGACAGCAAGACCAAAAAAAGAAAAAGAAAGCCTTCCCCTGGAGCTGACACCCTGAATTTGGACTTCTAGCCTACTAGACTGTGAGAAAATAAATTTCTTTTTGTTAAAGCCATCCACCTGTGGTATTTCGGTTATGGCAGCGCTAGATGACTAAGACAGATAATGAAAAAGGAAGACAGAAGAATTGATGTGTTAGACCTGTGGTGTTGTGAAGAACATCAGATATACGGTGGACTGCCAAAAGAATGAACGGATCAGTCTTAGAAGAAATACAACCGAAACGTTGCTCAGAAGTGAGGATGACAAGACTTTGACTCACTTTGGTCACATCATCGGGAAAGGTCAGTCACTAGAAAAGGGCTTCATGGTTAGTAGAGGGCCAATGAAAATGAGGAAAACCCTCGATGAGACACATTGACACAACAGCTACAATGGACTCAAACACGCCATGGTCATGAATATGGTGCGAGACTGAGCCCCACTGAGTTCTGTCATACGTGAGCTTGCCATGAGTTGGAGCTGACTCAGTGGCAACTAACAACAACACCAGGATATATGTAACAGGACAAATTGGATCCGTTTGCCAGGATAAAATTCCAAAAGGCTGCGATTTAAGTGTAAAAAAACAAACCGTATGATAACTGAAGGATAATCTCATTTTGTAACACCTCCCACCTGCAGTTACTCTGGCCGCCTCCATAGTCCTCACACTGGCACATCCCACCTCAGGGCCTTTGCACGTGCCGTTGCCTCCACTTGCAGTCCCTTCCTCTGATGCCCACATGGCTCCCTCTCACCATCTTTATGGGAGTTTGGCCTTTGCGGTGCAGCCTTCTCTTTACATGTTTTTCCTTTTTAAAAAAGTTTATTTTATTTTTGGTGAAAATACACACAGCAAAACCTGCTCCCACTCCACAGTTTCTAGACCTAATGATCAGTGACATTGGTTACATTCTTCACATTGTGTCAACATTCTCATTGTTTCTAGTTGTTTCAATTCTATTTACTTAGTCTCCTTGCCCCTCAGCCTTACCTATGGTTTAAAATAGCTGTTGATTCTTTTTTGCTGTTTGTTTGTTGATAATAATCAGTGAAAGTTTACACAGCAGTTTAGGTTCCCATTCAACAATTTAGACACAAGTTATTCAGTGACATTACATTCTTCACAATGCGTGAACATTCTCATTACTTCCATTCTGGTTGTTTTGTTTCCATTAATCAAGTTTACCTGCCCCCTTACAGTCTCATCTTTGTTTTAAAGTAATTGTTGACTGTTTGGTCTCATATAGGTGATTTTTTTTTTTCACTTTTTAAAAAACTGTGCTTTAAATGAAGGTTTACAGAGCAAATTAGTTCCTTATTAAACAATTAATGCACGTGTTGTTTTGTAACATTGGTTGCCAAACTCATGACATGTCAACACTCTCCCCCTCTCGAACTTGGGTTCCCCATTACCAGCTTTCCCGTCCCCTCCTGCCTTCTCGTTCTTGCCCCTGGGCTGTTCTGCCCATTTAGTCTCATTTTGTTTTATGGGCCTGTCTAATCTTTGGCTGAAGGGTGAACCTCAGGAGTGACTTGGGTACTGAGTTAAAAGGTGTCCAGGGCCATACTCTCAGGAGTTCTCCAGCCCTGGTGGTGCAGTGGTTAAAGCATTTGGCTGCTAACTGAAAGGTTGATGGTCCGAACCCAGCAGCTGCTCTGTGGGAGAAAGACGTGGCGGTCTGCTTCCGTGAAGATCTCAGCCTTGGAACCTTATGGATCAGTTCTACTCTGTCCTATAGGGTTGCTGAGTTGGAATTGACTCAATGGCAGTGGATTTGGTTTTTTTTGGTCGGGCCGGTAAGTCTGGTCTTTTTTTGTGAGTTAGAATTTTGTTCTACATTTTTGTCCAGCTCTGTCCAAGACTCTCTATCGTGATCCCTGTCAGAGCAGTCGGTGCTGGTAGCCGGGCACCACGTAGTTGTGCTGGACTGTGTATGTCTGGTGGAGGCTGTGGTAGTTGTGGTCCACTAGTCCTTTGGACTAATCTTTCCCTTTTGTCTTTTTCTTCATTCTCCCTTGCTCCGGACGGGGTAGGACCAGTGGAGTATCTTATATGGTCACTCACAAGCTTTTAAGATCCCAGACACCACTCACTCAAATAAGACGTAGAACATTTTCTTTATAAACTGTTATGCCAGTTGAGCTAGATGTCCCCAAAGACCATGGTTCATATAGCTGATTTTTTAAAAGAGCACAGTACTCACAGATGATATTATTTCTTGAGCCAATTTGTTATTTAGCTACAAGGTGACCTCAGGAATTAGTTTTGGTTCAAGATTTGAAGAGTATCTCAGGGCAATATTATCGGGGAGTCCTCTAGTCTCAACTAGTCCAGCAGGTCTTTTTTTTTTTAAGGAATTTGAGGTTCTGTTCCATATTTTTCTCCCATTCTATCAGGGTCCATCTATTGTGGCCCTGATTAGAACAGTTGGTAGTGATAGCTGGGCACCATCTATTTCTTCTGGTCTCAGAGTAGATGAGGCCCTGGTTTGTGTAGACACCCTCTGTTTAAATTTGTACCTCTAACACCCTGCTTTATTTTTCTACACAGCAGTTCTTATCTTCTAACATACTACATATTTTGCTTATTTACCTTGTCAGTTGTCTGCCTCCCTGCCCTAGAGCATCAACTCCTTGAATGCAGGGAGTTTAGTCAGTTTGGTTCAGTGCTGTGTACTCAGTGCTTAGAAAAGACAATTACTTTTTGCTGAGAATGAAAGTGATGAGGGGAGTTTCAGGGGTAGGGTCCACAGCACCCCATTCTCTTGGTTTTGGTGGGATGAAAGGACAGGAGGCAAGGGAACTGAGAAGAGCAGCAGACTAGCATGCACAGAGGGACTAGAGGTGGGGGTAGACGATGGGCTGACAAACACAGACAATGCCTTCTTCAGATGTTTTATTTGGGGAGGTGGGTGTTGGGTGAACAAATGTGTGCTCCTACTGCTGTCTGAGTCCCTTTTCATCTGCACAGCTGCTGCAGGGCCTCCTGGGCTTGGACCCAGCGCAGCCGCCACTGGGGCAGGGACAGGCCCTGACACTGCTCCTCGGAGAGGGCGGTCTGGCCCGGCTGCTCCCACCTGGGGATGGGGACGGTGTCAGGAGGCAAGACCCTCACTGGCCTCCCCCCAACAACATGGGCTGCTCCTCACCAGCCCCCCAGCCCTACTCCTGCCTCTTGCACCCAGCTCAGTCCCGGCCCCATTGTGGGCCCTCTCACCAGTCCCCCACGGCTCCCTGAAGCCCGGGGATTCGCTCCAGTGCCTGTTCCAGCAGCTTCTCCAACTGATTCAGAGCCTGCCCCAGGCTCTCCTTCTGCTCCTTGTCCTGTGACGCCTGGATCTGCAGTAGCTCTGGAGGTTAGAAACCCAGAAGCAGCCTCACAACATGAAGTCACCAAGTCTAGTCACCCAGTCTTGCCCTCAGCATCCCCCCAAACCTCTCTCTCCTCCCAGGTCCTTGTCTCTGGGTGGTCCCACTATCGAGCAGACTAGAGCGCCAGGCCCCACGCTGACACCTTCCTCCTTCCACTGTCAATCTCCACGGCCCCCTGCTCAGCTTCCTGACCATTTCTCCCGCCTTCCTTCTCTCTCCCCCTTTCCTCCCAGTCTCCTTCCTAGGCTTCCAGCCTCAGCCTCCCACTTTGGCCCACCCTCCCCATGGCACCCAGTGATCTTCCTGAAGCCTAAACCGGATCCTCTCCTGCTTAGAACCCTCCATGGCTCCCAGTGTCCCCAGGACACAACCCAAGCTTTTCACCTGGTACTTGAGGGTTTGCATCATGTGGCCTCTGCTCACCACTCCTGGGAAAAACCTCACCTATCCCACAAGGCCCACCGTTCCTCCCGAACGCCTTCCCAGCATTCCTCACCTGAAGGCTTCCTCCTTAGACTGCCCCAGCCCTTTACTCCACTGCATTTCCTCCTGGGGACTGTGACTGGGCCCGGCTCAGAGCAAGTACAGCTTATCAGCACAGTCAGACCTCCTGGGCCTGAACCCTGCGTCTGTCTCATCCTTGTCCTGTGGCCTTGGGCACGCAGCTGCCCTTTCTGAGCCTCAGCTATATTAGCAGTCAGATGGGACTATCTGAGCCCTAGGCTGGTGGCCCCGGGGGCGACTGCGGAACTCTCAGGCACCGGCTGCCAGCTTGGAGGTGGGGTGGGGAGCAGAGTCCAGGATGACTCCTGGGTCTCTGACTTCTGCCTGGGATGAGGAGGGTGGGGCCACGAGCTGAGGGGAAACCCAGAGGGGAGGGGAGCCAGGAGGAGGAGGAGCAGAACTGCTTTTCAGAGCAGGGCGAACTGTTACGACGTGTTAAATGTTCACGGTGTCCGTGAGGTGGGAAGAGGCTGTTCCCACTGTGGCCGTATACTATACCCCCCACACAGAACGGGGGGGCAGGGAGACCCAAACCCAAGACCTGAAAGTGGTCTCCTTCTTCCTGCTTTGTCGACGGAACCCCAATTCGTTCCTCATCACGTCACCTCTTCCATCCATTTACCCTGTGATCCTTTGCTCCTGGCTCTTGCCTCACCCCTCAGCAAACTCTCAGGGCCTGGCACCCGGCAGACACCCTGCGGGTACTTGATGCATGAATCCCTGAATGAATGAACTTCTCTGGGCTTCACGTTCCTTGTGTATAAACCGGGGACCTGAACAATCCCTTCCTTCCGAGATAAGGGCTCAAAGAGGCCGTGTGTGGACAACAATAATGGGGATTGCACCAGACACACTCACAGAGCGCTTAACACAAGCCAGGCCCTGTTCAGCGCCCTGTCCGGGTCACCTGACTGCACCTTCCCAGAACTCCGTAAGGTGCCGCGAGTAGCCCTGTTCCACCGAGGCCCAGAGACCACACAGCCAGGAAGAGGTGGGGCTGAGGAGGGACTCAGGGAGTTTCCCACCACAGCCTGGCTTTCAACCACTGAGCCCACTGTTTGATGGTGACGCATGAGTGCTGCACACTTCGGCGGGCCGTGTAGCTTAGTGTTGGGAGCACAGCCCCACACCGGACTGCCTGGCTTCATTTCCCAGCTCTGCTATTTGGGCATGCGGGGTGGGCCCTCTGGGTCTCCGTCAGCTCCTCTGTATGAAGGCGAGGACAGTAACTCCCTTCACGGGGTTGCTGTGCAGATCAGACAAGTGACTATGCTGAGAGCACTGAGTGGGCTGTAAGAGCGAGTGTGTGAGTGACAGGTGGTGCTTGCTGTTACTTCGGGAGGCTGGGAGCGCTGCAAATGGGTAGGCCTACCCTGGGCGGAGGGTCCCGGTGGCAGGCCTGTCTTCATATGCAGCAGATCCCAGCACTGGAGACTCCATTGGTCTTGGAGGAGCAGGAGGTCTTGGCGCAGAGAGGCGGCCTTCGGGAGGAGCAGCTCAGGGGCCTGGAGGGAGGAGGAAGGACAGTCACCTGGGGCAGGGCAGGGCAGGAGCGGGGAAGAACAGATCCTGGGGACAGGCACTCACCTTCCCTGCGGGCAGCCCCAGTGTGCGGCTCAGTGCTATGAAGATGGAGCCCCTTGGGGATGCGGGGTGCAGATGGTGGATGGATGGTAAGACCGTGGGCAGGGGCTTCAACCTGGGGGGACACTCTGGGTCGGGCAGGGCACAGAAAGGATGGACAGGTTCCAAGGGCTTGGGTTCCAGAGGTTCTGGGGGCTTAGAGGTGGGGTCTGGAGGCCTAGGAGCTTGGAGGTGCGCCTGGGGACTAGGATGCTACAGCAAGGCCAGTGACTCAAGAGTGAGGTCTGGGAACACTAGAGATTTGGGGTTTTATGGGGGAGCCCAGGGCAGGGGAGTCTTCCACGAGAAGGGGATATGGGGTAGCCCCGTCTCACTCTCCGGGGCTGTGCCGCAGCAGGGTGCCCAGCAGAAGGCAGGGCAGACGCCGGGCCTCCTCCTCCAGACAGTGAAGCAGCTTCTGGCTCTGTGGCGCCACCGCCTCGGATGTGGGGACCACCTTTCGCTGAACAAGAGCCAGCACCTGGGGGGGGAAGGGCCAGAGGGGGGTCTGAGCCCACCCAGCCCCATCCTCTCTGCCCTCTGCACAGAGGATGCAGATAAGCCCCACCTCGGCCCCCATGCAGCCTGGAAGCCAGCTCTCGCCCCAGCGCCCATGTTACCTCCCCAGGGCTCCGGCACAGGCGGGTCTTGCTGGCTGAGTTTCCCTTGATGAGCAGGCGGACCTGTTCCTGCGTCTCCTCCTGGGGAACCAGGGGGCCTTTAGGGACCTGCCGCTTTTCCTTCCCACCTCCCAGCCTCAGGCCCTGCCCGCCCCTTTGCTTCCTCTCGGAATCTCACCTTGTGTGCCCCACCCACTACCAGGAGGCATGGTGCTCGGTCCCAAGGCTCCAAGCCTCACTCTGGCCCTCCAGCCGGCCCCGCCCCTTCTGAGGGAGGCCTCGCCCCTCACCATGAGCTGGCGCCAGTGCAGGATCCGCTGCTGCTTAGCCTGGAGCTCCCGTAGCAGAAGCTGCCGCTGCCCAGCAGCCTCCCCCAGCTCCTGGCTCTGGGTGCGCAGGGCTTTGAGCTCCGCCCACAGCCCACAGCCCCGAAGTCCCAGCGCCAGCACCTGCCTGGAGGACCAGCAGAGAGTGGATGAAAAGAGACCACTGAAAGGCACACTGGGGGCAAGGGATGAGATCTGCGGGAGGCAGACCCCAGGGCAGGAGGCAGACACAGAGCAACGGGGGCAGAAAGAGTCCAATATCCCAAGACACTTGGGGGAAAGATGGGCTAGTGGCCTCTGCCAAGGGGGATCCCTCACCTCTCCCTGGGTCCTAGGGCACTTCTCTCCAGCTCCTCCATCAGGCCCTGGAGGCGCCGGGTCAGGACTTGATGCTCCTTCAGCAGGGGGCCCCTCTGGGTGACCAGCGCACTCACAGCCCGCCAACCCTCCTGGGGAGGTGAGCACAGTGTCAGGGCGGCACGGTCTGTGGGGGTGGGGGCTGGGCTGGGTCTTGGGATGGGCGGGGGTGGCGGGGTGAAGTCCTGGGGAGAGTGCCTGGGGTCACCTGGATGAGATGCACCATGGACGGCAGGGCCTGGCTGGAGTCTGACTGGTCCCGTGCCTGGGGACTGGGGATGGGGCAAAGCTGCTGAGGGAGGAGCCGGTCTCAGCCTGGCTCCCCAGAATGAGCACTGGGTTTCAGTTCCCATCCCCACCAGCAGGTCACCAGGTCAGGTCTGCCCCTCTTCCCGGCTCACGCACGGGCCTGCCCCGCCCTAGCCCTGAGGGAGCACCCTCTGCACACCAGGATATCTCCGTATGGAGAAGCCCGTCCCCACAGCACAGGGAGCGGATCTCTGCCTCCCGCTCGGCAGCAAGGTGCTCCAAAGCAGCCAGGACGTGGCCCGGGGGGTGGTTGGTCAGTAGAGCCTGGCAGGGAAGGTGGGGGTGAAGTCAGGGGCCGGACGGGGGCAGGGCTCTGAGCTGGGGCCCCACGGGGATTGGGGTAGGGATCCAACTGTGAGGTTTGATCATGGGGCTGGGGGGTGTGGCCTTTTCTTTCCTGAGAGCCCCCCACGCCCCCTCACCTCCACTAAGCTGAGCCACTGCTGGTAGGAAGTTCCAAAATGGTCATCACGAGGGGCCCTGTGGGGTGGGCAGGGGGCAGAGAACATTACGGGACACACTGATTATCCCTCTAATGATCTCAATCACCGTGTAAGGTCCGGACAGCCACTGTTCCCATTTTACAGATGAGGAAACCAAGTCCATCTGTGCCTGCTAGACTCGGGCTGCCCGCCTTGGGCCTTTGCATGTGCAGTTCCCCTGAACACCCTGCTGGCCCCTTACCCTAGTTAAACTTCCTCAACAGAGACCCCTCCTCTCTGCCCCCCCCAGCTGGGTCAGGTGCCTCCTTTGGGTGCCCAGAGCCACCCAGGCACCCCCCCAGCCCTATTCACCTGGGCTGTCACCGTCTGTGACAGGTCTTCCCCACCCCTACCCCCACTTGCCAGCCTGGGAGTCCTGTCAGGGCAGGGCCGGGGGCTGACATAGGCCAGAGGCTCAGTGTTTGAGGAATTAAACAAATGACCCCCAAGGCCCAGGCTCTACGCAGGGTCTCTGGGGGCAGGGTCTCTGGGGGCTGGCTGGAGGGTACTCACAGGATACTGCCTCCCTTGGCCTGGGGAATCAGGAGGTTCTGTAAGAACTGGGTCCGGAGGGCGCAGGCCGTTCGCACATCACGCTAGGGAGGCCACGATGGGGCGTGAGGGGGACCCAGGGGTCCAGGTGGCCCCAGACTCCCCACCCCATCCTGCATGGCCCAGGGTCCTCACCAGGACCATAGGCTCCAGGCCCAGGGTTGCTGACGTCAGGGGTCCAAAGGTCACATCTATTTTGGCCTTCCTGGAGAGAGGAATGCAGTTTGGGCTGAGGCCCCTGGAGATGGGAGTTGGGAGGACAAACGTTTGTGCCCTCTCCTCTCCTCTCCCGCCGAGGGATCACCAAGCCTGGATCCTGGGGGTCACCGTCCAAAATGAGGCTACCATCGTCCCCCACCTGGACTACTGCATTAACCTCTCCCCAGTCTCCCTGCTGCCCTGGCAAGTCTGTTCGCCTAGTCGTCAGTGAGCCTGCTGAAATCTAAGTGACATGCCACTGTTCTGCCTGAAACCCTCTAACTGCATGATGCGCCCCCCTCACGCTCACGATAACACGAGCTCACGGGTGCTCCTCTATACGCGTTACAAGGTCGACCTCCCTTCATCATCACATCGACCCTAACAGGTGAGGAGCCCTGCTGGCACAAGCGGTTTGCTATCGGCTGGCAACCTGAAGGCTGGCGTTTCAAACCCACTCAGAGGCTCCACGGAAGAAAGGCGTGGCGATCTGCTTATGTTGTTGAGTCGCTTCCATTGACGGCCACGAAAACCCTACGGCAGTTCTACTCTGTAACCCACGGGGTCACCGTGAGCAGGGGCTGACGGGAAGGCAGCTAACAATCTCCACCTCAGGAGACAGGATTAGTTTTATCCTCGTCCTACAGATGCACTGGGCTGAAGGATGTCTCCTAAAAACTCATGTCCACCAGGCACCTCGGAACGTAACCTTGTTTGGAAATCGGGTCTTTGCAAAAGTACTAATTAAGATGAGGTCACAGAGGATTTGAGGAGGACCTGTATCCAGTGGCCAGTGTCTATAAGGGAGAGGGACTCAGACACAAGACACACACAGAGAGAAGCCGGCCGTATGAAGAGGGAGGCCGAGACTGGAGTGATGCCGCTATCAACGAAGAGATACCAAGGACTTCTGGCAACCACCAGAAGCTAGAAAGAGACAAGGAAGGATTTTTCCCGAGAGCCTTCTGAGGGGGAACATGGCCCTGCCCACACCTTGATTTCAGACTTCTAGTTTCCAGAACCGTGAGAGAATAAATTTCTGTTGTTTTAACACACCCAGTTTATGATAATTTATTACCGAAGTTCTAAAAAACGAATACCACAGACCTTAGAAGCTGTGGCACAAAGAAGTTAAATACCTTGCCCTAGCCGGGCCATGAACCCAGAGTCTCGGAGTGAAATTCCAATGCCTCCTAGGCGCTCCACCCACCTCTCCAGCCTCACTGCTTCAAGCTGTCCCTCTCCTCTGCGAAGCTGGGGCTGAACGGGCCTCCTGGCTGTTCTGCCCACCCTCCCAGCTCAAGGCCTCTGCTCTTGCTGTTCCCTCTCTGTGGAAATTCCTCCAGCTGTTACCTCCCCTGAGAGGCCTTCCCCGACCACCCTAGCTAAGGTAGCATTCCCCTCTCCGTTTCTATCACATCGCCCCTTTTCTTCCTAGCACTTATCTCTGTGTGAAATTATATGATTCGTTTGTTTCCTAGTTCACGATCTATCTCCCCCCGACCCTGTCCGACTGTGAGCTCCATGAGGGCTGGGATGTTGCCCTGTTTACGGCTACTGCCCCAACACTGGCATGCTGGATGTATCGTCAGTGCCACTCTAGATGCTGGGGATACAGCAGTGACCGATGGTAACGATTCCTGGCTTTACGGAGCTTAAACCTTAAGGGGTGGGAACTCAGAGTTCTGGGGCCTCAGAAGGTTTGGGGGTAGGGCACTAGTGTCTCTAAGGAGAACGGATGGCTGCCCAACCTGCTGAGGCTGTCGCTGGACACCCGAGGCCCACCTCTCTGTATCCTGCAGGCGCCCGAGCTGACTCTGCAGCCGCCGCACAGAACCCTGGAGTCCACGCTGCTGTCTCTGCAGGGCCCCGGCTTGGGCCCGGAGGAGGAGAGCGCGGCGCTGGGCGTCTCGCGTGCTCTGCAGCGCCTGCTCCATGGCTACGTCTGTGGGAGCAACACAAACACAGACTCACTGCCATCGAGGCAACTCCAACTTACAGCAGCCCTACAGGACAGAGAACTGCCCCATAAGGTTGTAATTTTTAGGGAAGCAGACTGCTACATCTTTCTTCTGAGGAGCATCTAGTGAGTTTGAACTGCTGACCTTTTGGCTAGCAGCTGAGTACTTAACCACTGCGCCACCAAGGCTCTGGGGGAGGAACGGGGTGGCCATCAACACCTCCCCAACTCCAGCTTCCCCTACCCATCTGCCCAGCCCCATGGGTCACCCTGAGCCTCAGTGTCTTGCTCCATCTGCTCCAGGCTCTGGTCTAGCTCCAGGATCTCTGCCCGCAGGCGGGCCACAGCGGCTTCTAGCTCCGATTTCCGGTGGGCCTGAGGCATCAGGTACAGGGTTAGATGTGCAGCCTGGCCTGCACACAGTCTGGCCCGACTACCCCTTGGGTGGCACTAGATGCCTCATCTTGAGCAGGGGAGGGTGGCAGAGGGTTTCCTCGCGTTTATGTCCCTGACACAGAACTTGGCCCAGAAGAGCACCAAGGTGCTGTCCTGGGCCTCTCCTCCCTCCCGGGACTCTCTCACCCACCCTCACAGGCTGTTTCCTGTCTCTGCACTGATGACACCCACACCTCTGACCCAGCTCCGACCTCTCCCCTGAGCCCCGCATCTGGGAGTCCTGAAGCCTCCATGAGTCTCTCCATAGATGTCACCAGGTCTCCACCCACTGGGCCCCATACTGGCCTCCGGATCTCCCTTAAACTTGCCCCTTTTCCTGTCTCCTCTCTCCAGCCTGGATGCCCCGTTACCCATACCCCGCCCCCCCAGCTCATATTTGCCTCTCCCTGGACTGTGCAGGGAGTGCAGGGAGCAGGGCTGTGTTGTGACTCAGTGTCCCCAGCAGCACCCAGCACAGGGCTGGGCTTCAAGTGGATGATCTACAAGTCCTCCTGAGATGAAAGAGAATCTTGTAGCATATAACTCTCACCTCTGGACTGTCCTGGTGGCCGTACCTGAGGAAACGAGGCCAGAGTCGGGATGACAGAAGCTTCTAGCGGGGCGGGGTGGGGGGAAGGAGGTGGGAGGCTGTGGGTGGGGATGGGGCTAGACGGGACTGGGGAGAATAGGAACGGGCTGTTTTGAAGACCAGTTACCAGAGCAGGTTTCCCCGGACCTTCTTGACACTCCTGCAGTGGGGAGGTAGCAGGAAGAGGAGTCACTGAGGGACTCACCTGCCACCCCACCCCCCACCCCCCAGCCCACCTCATCCAACTGAACTCACCTCTGGCTGTGCACATGCCGCAAGATGTAGGCCCAGATGTCGGCCCCCTGGCCCAGACACAGCCTGCGGGGACAGTGTGTGAGGGTATGCCTGGGGCATCACACAAGGTGGGAAATCCTCCCTCTAGGGGTGGTGACGGTGGGGAAGGTCTTTACTAGGGAGTTCTTACTCCTGGGGGGGGGGCGGTGTCTGTAATTTTCGGGTAAGATCTTCCCTTCTGGGGAGTTTTCAGTCACTGAGAGGGTGGGCTTCTCACTGGCTATGTGTGTGGGTATTCGCATTCTCTGGAGGGGTCCTCCCTTTCCCCTGGGAGACGCTTATCTCCCGTTACTTCCAGAGTTGGGGGTGGGAGATGTACTGCTAGGACGTCCCCTCTCATTGCCAGGCATGGCTCATCACCCCTACAGATACAATCCCCAAGGGGGTGGCCTTTGCTAACTCCCGAATGTCCTCACCGTCCGGGGGTGGGGATGCGGCGGGAAAATCGAACTGCTGCACTGACAACCCTCACCGGGCGGAGATGGGAGTGTGAGGCCCACTGCCAGAACATCCGCACTCAAATCCAGAATCCTCTTCCCGGACATACTACTCCCAGGGTGGGGCGCCCGCAGTAACTGAGGGTCACTCTCACTGGGGCAGGGGAAAGGAAGGGGCCTCGGGGCGGGGCGGGGTCTTCACGCCCGGAGTCCCTATCTCCAGGGTAGGGAGTCCTCATTCCCGGGCCGGATCTCACCTGCGCAGCGTCGCCTCCGGGGCCCGTGCCGTCATGGGCACCCCCATCTCCTCGGCAGCCCAGTAACCCAGCTCCCGCGCTTCCAGCACTAGCTCCATGCCCGGCCCGCCGCGGCCGCCGCCTCCCGCGCCCTCTTCGAGCGCGGCGCGCACCTCTGACGTCACGAACGCGCCCGCGGCGAAGCCCTCGGCGGCGCGCCGCCTGCAGGCCCCGGGCGCCGCACGTGCAGCGGCGTGTCCTGCGGGTCGTTCGGCTCTCGTTCCCCCGGCACCGGTCCCAGCGAGAGAAGAGGAAAAGGGACGTGGAGAAACTGCGGGGCCGCTCGCCTTCCACCGTACTCCTGCCGACTACCAGCTGCCCCTAAGGCCCGTGGTGCCTTCGCTTTGCGAGAACACCAAGGGAATCGCGCTCCTTCCTTGATTTTCGTGACAAAATGGAACATGAACCATTTTCAAGGGCCGTTTTGAACCATTTTGGAGAACGAGCACCAGACGAGGAGACGTTGGTCCTACTGCTCCTTTATTTCAGAAACGAGGTGTCTTCTGTCTGGGGCGGGGGCAGGGGGGCAGAGGGCGTGTAGTATGGCCGTAACGTAACAAAGATTGTGAGGATGGTGCAGGAACGGGCCGTGTTTCGTTCTGTTGTACGTAGGGTCGCTGTGAGTTGGAACTGACTGGAAGGCACCTAACAACAGTATCTTCTTCCAGGAATTCATTGTCGCAAACCGTTCCGTAGACGTCCATGGAGTTGACCTTGTGCCCCGGTCCTCCCCCTACATAACGCACAGTTCAGCGGAGGAGATAAACGCACCACCATATAGGGATGGTACAGAATAAGCAGCAGGGGCTGGTCGTTGTGGGACACACGGAGTGCGAGAGGTATGTGGGATCCCAGAAAGTACTGGATACCACGGCTGGAGTTCTGGAGAGCCCACTAGGCTAGGACAGAAATCCGGATGGGCTGTGGGAATGAGCGGGTGTGAAGCCCAGAGCCGAGGAAAACTCAGTCTCAGACAGGGCCCTGGGAAAAGCCAACATTAGGGACCTTCCACTCAACATGTTTGCCTAGGTCACCCCTATGTCCTCCATGGCCAGTACAGTGCCTGACTCAGAGTGGGTTCTCTAAATAGTTGAACGAAGGAATGGTGGGGAGTAGGGGGGAGGTGATGCGTGAAACTAAAGCTGGAAGCCAAGGAGGAGGCTGAAACAAGGATGGGGGTGGGTGAGGATGGTGCTTACTGAACCAGAGTGCGGCTGTGGGGCAGGGAGGAGGGGCCAGGTGGAAGAGAAGCTCAGAAGACTGAGTGGGCATGGAGTTGGTAGGCTGTGGAGTGGGTGCATCCAGGATGAGGTCCAGGGCTCTGGCCTGGGGATGGGGTGGGGCAGACCTTGAAACGGGGACTTGAGAGAAGGGGCAGCTTTGGGAGAGATGTGGAAGACAACATAGGACATTATGGTGTGACGGACCAGGAGAACATCCAAGAGCAAGGTAGGGCTCTGGCACAGGGGCAAGGGGACAGTGGAAACAAACAAACAAACCCATTACTGTTGAGTCGATTCCGACTCATAGCAACCGTATAGGACAGAGTAAAACTTCCCCATGGGGTTTCCAAGGAGCAGCTGGTGGATTTGAACTGCCAACTTTTTGGTTAGCAGCCGAGCTCTTAACCAGTGCTCCACCAGGGATCTGGGGACAGTGAAATCAGCCCTGAAATAGCAGGTCTGGCGGAGAAGCTGAGGCCAGCTTCAAGCAAGTCTCAAGGATGGAGAAGTAGAAGTTGGTGCCACGGGCTGATGTGATCCAGCTGGGCTTCCTGGAGGTAAGACTGGCAACGGGCGCTCCGTGATGTGTGGTTCCTCAAAAGCTGCCATTTCCCTCAAACATCTCCACCTTTCCTCTCTGTCTGTGTGGGGTGTGGGTCTATTTTTAATAAATTAGACACAATGTCTTACTCATAGTCTGTGAGCTTTCCAGGGGGCTTTGAACATGTTTGAGACCCTTCAAAATTATTGGCTGGAACCTGAAATGTTGACTGTTTAATGAAATGCCCACAAATTGTAACCTGATGCCAACTAGTCAGATGCACCTTGACTCAAGTTATATAATTATATGTAAATATAAAGGGATCCTGAATGGACTTTTTCCTTTTTCTTGGAAGCATGGTTAAAGCCAAATATAAGGACCACAGGTGATAAGGACCAGTGCCCTCCAGCCCCCGCACTTCTGAAGAGGCCCCCCAGGGCTCGGTAGACACCCTCTCACAATACCCCATGATGTGACCGTCTCCCTGCCACTCCCCGTTCATGCCTGGATAGTGGCTCTGTCATGGGTCCACCGGGTAGGCTGAATTAACCGTATTTCTTAGAATTCCCTTCTCTGTACGCTTCCAGTGAGGGTGTGCCAAAAAAGAGATTCTTGTGCCAGATTTGGAGGGCAGGAGTGAAACAGCGGCCGTTTTCTAGTTCCCGTAGGTTGTTGCCTGTGTGCTGGCTTGTCACGTCGGTGGGGGAGCAGCTGGGCCTGCAGTTGTTCCATCTTTCTGGGGATCCTCCTGCAGTTTCTCCAGTTCCTGGGTCAGGTGTGTGTGTAACTCCATGATGAAGGGTGCCAGCTTCTCCTGCAGACACTCATACCATCACGGTAAGAGGCAGTGAGAACGGCCAGTTCCCGCTTGTTCCGGGAAGTCCTTGCTTTATCCCACTGTACGTCCGTCTTCCCTTCCCACCTGTCTGCCTTGCGGACTTCACTTGACAGTATCAGACACTAAGACAGCAATCTTACAGAGACTACCTAACCAGCCCCACAGTTGTTTAAGATCAAATCCCTGTAACGCGTCTATTTCTGTATCTACCCGTCTGTCTGTCCGTCCGTCCGTCCATCCATCTGTCATCTGTTTCTGTATCTATCTCTCCGTCATCTATCTATATTGTATGTCTCCTAGTGGTTCTACTTCACTGACTGAACCCTGACTGATAACACTCTGTAAGCAAACTGTTGCTATCTGAGAAGTCATTGTTAACAGCAAGCTATTGTTTGTGAAAGAGGGTGCCGTGGCTTTCCTTCTTCCCTCCCCCGTGAGAAGAGGGGGCCGCCTTCTGCACCTCGAATAAGGCTGATGCATGATAAAAGGTGAGGCTGACATCTTACTCGTAGCAGAAGACACATTAAATCATGTTATGCCCCCGCTGTGTTTAACTTGTTCAGTATACTTGGGAAAATGATTTTGATTCCCAAACTAAGAGATAGGCAAACTGTGTATTCTCATCTTTGTCTGTAGCCTGAGAAAACCATAGTCAATGGCTGTTTAAAATCAGATTTTGTCGCTTGATGTTCTGCTCTTGACCCCTGTTTGACAAGCTTCAACCTCCCATGTTAATTGTCTGTTAAAGCTTTGTGGCTCACAAGGTATTCAAGAACCAGCAGAATCTCAGTGTGCCCCCGCCCTGCGCCAGCTGAATCAGAATCTGCATTTTGACACAATTCGCCAATGATTCACATGTAAATTGAAGTTTGAGACGTGTAGTTGTATACAACACTACTTTTGTAGGGGATGAAACCTTCTTTATTCCCGTTAATAGCCAAAGATAGACCCTTATCATTTGCTTCTTAGATTAACAGTTTTTAACTTCGTGATCAATCTCTGGCCCATCTTTGGCCAGTCTGTCTCAGATTTTCTTCTAACAACTGACAGTTTTATGACCATGTGAACTGAAACTCCACTCATTACCCAATTAAATGTTTTCCAAAGAAAACCAGCTGTTTATGCAAGCATTCTACTTTTGAAGGATTTGAGCCCTCCTTTTCCTTTTGCATATGTTCTCTGAACTGGCATACTTTTGATACTTTGTTTGTTCATTACTAACAGGTTAATAAACTTTGCAACAAGCACAAGGTCAATTGAGAAACTGTGTTTTTAACCTGATTATATGGGATGTATCTCTATGTTAATATGTTTGATGGACAGAGGGTGAGGTCATGGTGGACTCTTGTCATTATTGGTTTCCCTAGCATCTGAGTCCTCTTCCTATTTCTGGGGAGCCTTCACCTTCCAAGGTAAAGCCCTCCTCATGCTCTCGAGACAGATGATAGTTGTATGCTCCCCCAGCCTACGTTGTAGTCCGGGTCCTGGCTCAGCCTGTCTATTCGAATATGGTTGTTCCTACATCTGATTCATTTCTATATCTTTTTTTTAATTACACACACTTTATTTGTAAAAAGACTGTCGAGCATTCCTAAAGTATACCAAAATATAATTGCAGACCAGAAGGTAATAAAGATTGGGTAATAAAGACTGATAAAAAATTAACAGCTACTCTTTCCACTTCTGGTTAAGATGGAATAACAGGGACCAGATTAAACTCTCCAGCCTGAAATAATTTAAAAATGGACAAAATGTATTAATCAATGGCTTGATGACATTGGATATCAGGAAAGAACAGACAGTGATCCCTGAGAGAAGAGATCTTTGTGATAACTGCTCACAAACAAGGTGAGCCCTATGACCGCCCTAGCTTACTGACTGGAAAGAGTTTCTAGGTCTCAGTGCAAGGAGAGGGAAGTGAGATGAAGCCCAGCAGTCTCCCTGAGTTGAGGGGATGGAGCTGAGAACGCACAGAAGCCAAAGCTACTAGAGTTTGCCCAGCAGAATACTGGAGATGAGAGAACTGGACAGAGAGAGAACTCCAAAGATCTGAAGAGGGTCCCCCTCAGGTATTTAACTGAGGACTGATAAATGTATGTGGATGAGGAAAGTAGCTGAGACTGGAGAAAGAACCATCTGAAAATATCAGGGAATAATCCTATGAGTTCACAGAGAGCTAAGGAAAGTGGCTGTTCCCACCAGCCAAACTGGAAAAGCTCATAATCATTGGATATAGGGTAGAGGATCTTGTCTTAGTATAGGGAAAGGTTAGCCCTAAACTAAATGCTTCTCTGATCATGACTAATAAAACTTAAAAGCAAGATCTAAAAGGATCAAGCAATTTACAAGTAACTGCATTCCAGAAGAAAACTCAAGGATATTTACAGAAATATAAAAATATCCAGAACCCAACAATGTAAAATTTACTGTGTCTTGCATCCAATGAAAAATTATAAGGCATGGCCAACAAGCACATGAACAGATGCTGA